AGTCGGCGAAGGAGAATCAAAAGCACATATTGACTTATTTTCCTAGTGTGTGTTTTTCTCGTACGGGTACATGTGTTCCTGCGTGCACAATTGGCTTGCGTCGCGACCAAACTGCAGTTTGTTTACATTATATCGGTAAGTGATTCGGAATGTGGCCTTTGGGAATAAATACTGTTTCGCGTTCATTTGGGGACAAACACCTCATTTTAGTTTTCAGCTTCAACAACCATCTCCATTGTGTTTCTTTATCAAATTATAATCTCTCAAGGGAATTGACTGTGTGACAGACCTGTTTGTAATATTTTAGGAGGGTTGCATCAAGTGTTAATTGTGCCACAGAGCTGAATAGTCACACCCAGGAAAATATCAGTGTGCTCCAGAGGAACTCCCTTGTGACTGCCCACACTTATAATTAACTGTGATAATGTATTCCCCTTGTTGTATGTAGTAACATATTTTTCCCCTAGCTTGGTTAGCTGATCAGCCAGAGAATACAAGGGTGTTATGAAATGTCATCATGATGTGGTAAAATGAATAAATGTGGCCTAGTAAAGGGTTGCAGTAACTTTTAAAGGGGTATAGCTCAGATTGACACTTTTGAATCCATCATAACCAGCTTTCAAACCCTAACAATAACACCTGCATTAGTGATGTATTGTTCAGCTTTAATAATCCCCTCATAGTAAACTAGCTCTTTACATGTCGGTCAGTTTTTGTCCAGATTATTCATTTGGTTTTTAGTCAGAAAACAGTAAGAAATACCCATCAAGGATCCCTATGGCCCAAATCAGAGTCATCATTGCTTTTTTTCTTTGACTAATAGTCCTGAAAGAAAACATTTTTTTATATTGTATATATTATAATTAAGAAGTTGGAACTTTTTTTACGAAAAATGCTAAATATCCTAACAACTAACTAAGGTTTTCCGACCATAGAAGATTCATTTGTAAAGGTATTTCATTATTGTAACACATTGCACTGTTAACATACTGCCTTTTTATATAGTAAATGTGAGTGATTCTGGAGAGTCTGAACATTATTGAGTCTTTTTCCAAAAGAAGCATAGATATATGCATTGTGTGCTTGCAACCAGCTGAAATTGAAAATCCAAAAGATGGTATCAGGAGTCATTCGGTGTGATTGAAGCCTCGGGCAGAATTGACTGTAATAGAGGGTTGATTAGCTATCCAGAGCTCATGTGTCTGGGCTGTGGTGACGCCAATCGCTTTCTGACTCAAGTCCATTGAGGTCAGAAGTCTCTTCAATCAAGGACTATTTCTGAGAACTTTGAATAATTTCCTCCCTCTGTTATATGTTCATTTACACTCACAGGTTCACACTTGGCTTTATCTAAAAGCCTGACATCAATACCTGGGAAAACAAGTGTCATGAACATTGTTATTCTTATTAGAGCTGTTGAATCACTGCCATCTTTGGCACTGATTCGTCATGCAAAGCGCTCGCCTCTGAATAATGCGGATGACACATATATGTTACTATTTTCAGATAGTAGAACACATGATATTTTGTCTCTCTGTGCGACACTGAAGCAGGATGGATGCCTGTCAGGTGTGAACCATGCTGCTGTTTTGTGAATGAAGTCAACAACACCATATTGAGAAGAAAAATTAGGCAGCGTTTGAATACAACCACCTACCAAACTTGTGCTTATCAGCCTAAGGCAGGTCGCCAGCCTCATTGACTGTTCAAGCTACCCGTATTCTAGAAAGAGTGTACATATGTGCATGGCTGTCTTCCTCACGCTGACTCATGTTCAGATACTGACGAGGGGTTAGTAAGCTTTACTCGTGGCTTTGATGATTCATGCGATTTGCTAGACAACACCAGCCTTTGTCACACGTGGTGTCAGTGTCCTTATATAAACACACTAGTGCTGCCCTTCTGTCATGTCTGCTGTTTAAACCTATTTGTCCTGTGCCTCCTGCTTATAGGCGTTCAGAAGGTATCAGAACCGCTTAAATTGCTTAAGCCCTGAAGGTAATGGATGATACCCTTACCAATTCAGCCTCTCACTATCTCCAGTATAGGTGACTGCAGCATGGAGACATCAAAAGTTTGCTCAAACTTTGACAATAAATATATTTCAAGAGCTTTTGCAGATGCCTCAAATGTGGTTTGTGCTTAATTTAGTTTGTGTTATTGATTAACATAAGCTCTTATTGAATTCAATTAAGAGGAGCAAACATTCAGACAATATGATTAGGGACTGACATGTGCTTTGCAATAAAACTATATAACTTTTCAGAATTACATTTGAGTGTTATTTGCCGTTAGGTAACAATAACACAAATATTCCCTCTAGTATTCTAATTTACTTTATACAAGTGTGGGGTGTTTTCAATGTAATTTTGCATTTCAGGGCTTGGGATAGTCAGCTAAATGTATTTCAAAATATATGTAGGGTGACAATGATAACAAATATGTTAAGAGAGATAAAAGTAGCAAGAAAACTTTTGAAAACACCAAGGTTAGGGAATTAAAGGACAGTCATATATCAGAGCCATGTTGTCAAAACAACTACAGTACACTCATGTTTGTAACAGTGACACACACACTCAATGAAGAGATAACACAGACACACAGTATGACATCTGCTCACAATCACACTGATGTCTACACACAGATACGGAGGAGGAGGGTAATTCAGGAACCTCAAAACATGCTAATCCAGTTTTTCTGAAAAACCCTCCCAGCCGCCATCAAGATACGGTTACAAGAGGGAGAAACATTTAGCTGTGGGACAGAGGAGGAGAGACAAGCATACAAGAGCAGCTCTGTTACCAAGTCAGCACTTCGAAATCACAGGATTTACCACAGCGCCGGTTTCCTCTGGACCAGCCGCAACAACGGAGACAACAGTATAGTGGATTAACTGTAATCCTATCAGTGTTTCTTATGTAGCACCCTGTTAGCCAACACCTGTATTACGAATTACCTAGAGGAAACGACTCCAAGTGCACCGTGACACTCGGCCTCTCCGCGCCACTTCCTCAGACTCTCCTGTAACTGCTCGGGCTTCTGCTGGTAACTACATTATCAGGTCTGCATGAAGGAGATTCTCACAGCAATGCCTGAATGTAGCAAAAGAGGTGAGAAGAGGAAAGTGTAAAGATGGACTATTCAAACTGACACGTGATATTTCAGGCACCTGGATGTTTCACCGTTTTTGGTTAAATTGTGAGTCATGGAGAAGTCACTTTGAGGTTGACTATGTTGCTGTGCTTCGGGGGTCGTAGGCGAACTCGACACCACCAGATGCAATGGAGCGAAAAGGACTGCTTGCTTGACGATGAACTTCATATCATTACGAACCCTTGCTTCCTAGACACAGGTAAAGGCAAACACAGTGAGTTTGGACAGCTTAAATAACTGAACTTAACTGTCAAAGCACCTTTACATTTTAATTAACTTCACTCAATTATTTATTTGAAAACCAAAACATAGAAGGAAGATTTCCCTGATTGTGTATGTGTGACTGAAGTACACGGTAAAAAGTAGATCCCTGGGTTTACTGGAACATAATATTTGTAATATTTTCTATTCATTCAAAGTAACACCTCTGCTGATAAGAACACAAAAGGATAAAAGGCACCAAGAAAAACCTTGAATATCAATTCTCACACATACTGTAAATCTTATAAGATGCAATGGCCCTGATTTAAACGAGTTTAAAGTAATGTAATTTGGAGCATTTTTCCTTTTCAAACTAAATAAATTATCAGCGTTTCACATAGTTGAAGTCTTTAGGGTTTATTTTTTAATGAAAAATGTAGTTCATGATGAATACTGAGTACTGATGATCAGAATCAGCTCTTTGCACAAAGCTGCAAATTCCAGCTTCAGGGTTTTACTGGATTTCCCATAGTGACGCACTCAGAGTAGGCAGTCAGTGTTGCCATTTTGTTTCAGGTTTTCCCTGCCAAAATCCCTCATTAGCAGTAATGCTAGATCATAATGCACCTGGGTCCGATTCTGTATGTTATATAGAAAATGCTGTAAGGAGAGGTTTCAATATAATATACAAATACTAAAAGGTTGATCTTGTCTTGTGTCAAAAGAAATATTTATTTATAATATCAGTGGCAATTTTAACTTAAGTCATGTCAAAGCTACCTCAGAGAAAAATTCCCCATTTTTCAGTTTCCTCCCAGCATTATTCCGTTTCTGACCACATAGGGGCAGTGCTCCAGCCCAAACCCCACTGTAAATAGGGTGCTGCAGGGTTGAGCAGGTAAAATCTGGCTTGATTCAGATGATTGTTTTTTATATTGTACATGACCATATATTTGATGGCCCCATTTCAATTCCCTGAAGAATAATAGAGCACGACACCTGTGAAAAAGAGAAAATGGAACAGGAAAATGCAAAGCCTGTTCGCCCCATTAAGCTTAAACTCACCCACTCTGTGTGGGCTGTGTAGTGGGAGCCACTGGAAGCGTGGTGTGTGGTTGTGTGGATAGTGCTACATGTTACTAACACAGGTTAAGATCGCTTGCGTGTTTTTTTGGTCCTGTAGTGAGAGGCAGGCATTTTTTTTTATTATGCAAGTTTCTCCTTTACAAAGTGATTATGACTGTGTACAACTTAAGGATTGTAGTTATGCTAGACCCTTCAATTTAATACAACTTGGTGGTCACTAAAATGTGGATACATTAGCAAACAACTTGGTGTACATCATTCTCTCTTCTTCTATTAAAAATGGCAGAGTATCTGTTCTTTGTGTTATGCCAATGGTCCGAAGACAAAGTGTCCATTCATTGCTGGTAGTCTTTGTAGATTACCACAGTATGTAATCAGCTCAGTCTTCTCTAAATCTCATGTTCACTGGTGTCTGTTTATGTCTCTGGGGGCTACTCCAGAGAAATCAGGAGGGCGTGTGTAATGCCTGTGGGATCCAGTCCTTGTTTTCCATGTGTCCCGGGGGTTGGAAGGCAGCTGAAAGTTCAAACAGACACACACTCCCTCATGCTCTGCATGGCAAGAGCTCAGAGATTAAGGGGTTTGTCTGCACCGCCAACAACAAGGACGGCTCACTCTGCGTAACTTGCCAAAGAGGAAGGTTGATTCAAGTTTTCTCTAAATGTGCAACTTTTGCAACTATTAGAGATAAGACTTTTTTGCCAAACGAGCAGTGGATTTTTTTCTTTTCTTTTGTTCATCTGCCCATGCAATACATGCATAACTGAGTGTGGGGAAAAGGCAGCTACCATCTAAATGCCTGTGTGAGTCTGTGTGAATTAAGGAGCCTGAGTTTTTTCCCATGTCAAAGGTGAAGGATTATGCCTGGCATAGGAATGTAGTCTTCAATTGAAGGATTTTATGAGTCTCAACAACTCCCAAGCAGAATGTGAACATTGGTTTGTGCTACGGGCTTGTGGATGAGGATGTATTTGTAAATCAGTTTTGGGTGCCATGCTATTCCTTAGCAGTGGGACCGTGGATGTGACCCCAAGGAGTACAGCTATTGGCCAACAGCAGCAGGGCAAAACTGTTTACCACATCTCTGTAACCCTGAACGAAACACAGGGAGATGCACTGGTGTCAGGACTGGGAATGGGCCGGGTCACCCACACCTTGGTTGAGGATTGCCATCGAGGAGGAGAGATGATGAGTGTAGTGCCAATGGAGAACAGCCCCAGGCTGGGCAGGGCACGGCAAGAGCTCGACAGGTGGCCCTCCCTGAGCCGCACAGGTAGAGCTGGGAGGCAAAGAGAGGAAGTAGTTGAGGAAGAAAATGAGGAGGAGCTGGAGGAGGTGGAGGGAAAAATGAAGACAGACAGGTTTTTGAAACAGCCCAGCAAAAACTCAGGTAACTCCTCACAGCAAGGCAGAGACGCTGCAGAGTCAGTCACTCTGACAGACACCCAGGCGCAACACATTCAGAGCTCAACATTACGACCTGTCACCGTCCATGCTAAAGGGCTTGTCTTTGGGGAACATGGCACTGTTGCAGGACATAGCTCTCTGCCCCGGGCTGTGTTGCGAAGGACGCGCCAGGATGAAGCCCCGCTGGGTAGGAGAACGGTAAGCATGTATGGCGACTCAGTCAAACAGCAAAAAGATTCTCAACCTGATCAAGAAAGGCGGCTGCGGAGGCCCAGGAGTGTGTGCATGCTGGCAGGCCCAGGTCCAGTCCTGTCTGAGCCTCAGACCCAGCACCCCGTCAACAGGGCAGGCGTTTTGGACAGCAACCTGCAGAACAGGAGCAGGAAGGCTGAGCTGAGGGCTGTGGATGGCCTCAATCCTGCTCAGCGGCCTTTGTTTCTCGCAGAGGTGACCCCCAGGGTCAGCCAGAGGAACTGGAAGGCCAGGCCTGTCAGTATGACAGTGCTGGAGCTAAGAAAGAGGGGCTCTGATGATGAGATAGACAGCCAGAGGAGCGATGGAGTAGGCTTTCTCAAAGGGGGATTTCATTGGAGGCTTTTTGGCAAAGCACCTCCTGATAAAAGCAAAGAGAAGGAAAGTGACAAAGATGCAAAATCTTCTCCCAAATCTTCTACATCTGATGCTCCAAAAAGTACACTGAGCTCGTTAAGACGGAGCCTCAGCCTGCGAATCAGGAGGACTCGGCCCAGGGACAAAGTTACTCTAGGGTCTGAAAGGGAATTAAAGGAGTGCTCTCGGAATACATGTACGGCCGAGGAGACAACAATGAGTCCACGGCCCTTTTCGTATCTCACAGGAAGAACACTTCCAACTTCCAGTGAGCAGATTGAGGATGGGGGAATGCAATACTTTCAGTACCACAGCAGGGGGGAGGTCAAAGTAATGGAGGTACCCCTATGTCCAACAAAACTGTCTTCCAAACCAGTTCAGGAAGAACCAAGCATATGGCAGCTTATAGCCAACCGTTTCAGGCGGAAAGAGCAGACATTCAGTGGCAAATGTGAAAACCAGCAGTCCGAGAGCAACAACACCGGCCAAGATCCCCTGGCAGAGAATAATAAGTCACTGCCAGTCGCCATAGAGACTCTGGCAGGCATTGACTCCCACAAAGGTCAAGGTAAGACCTGTAAGATTACTGAATTTCTTTCTCAGCTCAGTTTTCCATTTAAAGTTTCTTCACTGAACAGAAAGTTACAGCTTGAAAGAAAGACGGAAGTGCACTGTCTTTTTTTAGAAGGACAGGCAAATGAAAAACACATGGGGAATTGTGAGTTTGGATGGCATTCAAAAACGTCTGGTTCCAGAGGTCCTTGTGGAATTTCTATTTTGGGCACTTCATTTCTCCAGTGCTTTTCATGTGTGCAAGCACTTACACAGCAAATAATTTGTCTTGCATATCATTTTAGAATTTCAGTAAACAAGTAGGTACAGTTAAGTCAAATCAGCAGTGACTGATAAGAACACATTATAATGGCTTGTTTTACAGTGGTTTTACTGTGGTGTAAAATAGCCCTAGTACTGTCTCTGATTTACCCACACACAGGACATGGGAGTACTGATAATGCTGTTTACTGGCCTCTCAGAGACACAGCTTAAAGCAGTAGCATTAAAGCAGTTAGTGGCTGTAATGGGGATTTGTTTGGCAGCCTAGCAGGGCTAAATTAAGAGGGCTTACATGCTATAATGATGGGGAGAAAGGAAGATGACTTAAGCACTGTGGTTAAAGGTTAACTCTGAAAGTGGAGTGTGTTTGTCCAGTTGCCTAGAAGACCAGGCAGAGATAGGCAAATATTTGTAACTATCTGAATTAATAGCTGTTTTTTAACTACGTTTTTTGCACCCATTTTCACCTCTTCACATGAAGACCTAATTAGTTGTCCGTGACAACTTAATGACTTCAACTAATGTCATGTCGCACACATCCTGTATTTACTCTCATTACGCCAACCTTTGAACCAGCAAAGCGGATATTTCATTCTCATGCTAGCATTACACTCTAAATGGGTCCTGGGTCAACTTTGTTCGTCTCCCGGTTTATTTGTATTCTCACATGACATGTTACCAAGGATACCTGTTCTTGTGGTTAAGTTACGAGTTGTATTTGTCCATATATTCCCCAGCAGAGTCAGTCAGTCAGGCATTAGGAATGTAGGTGTGCCGATCAGTCTGAGTAAAGTTAGGTGTTCAATGCCCTGGGCGGGTCTCGCCGCCTGTTGCTACCTGCCTAAGTGTTTGCTCCAACATTAAATCCAGAAAGCTGAAGCCCAGCCCTCACAAAACATAATCACACACATGCGCATACACACACTCGGTTCAAGTGTTTCCTGATGATAACTCCTAAATCTGGTGAGGTTTGGGGGAAGGGAGATACAGGATGATGGGTTTGAGGTGTGCAGACCGCGTCCCCACCCCCACCTGTGGATGAACAAAGCCACTCTGTCGAGCCCGTAGAGGCATGAGTGATCAGTGAGCCATGTACTGAGATGGGGCTCTCTAGGGGTCTTTGGGTTGGAGGAGGGGTGGCTTTCCATGCGGTGTAGGTGGTCAGCAATACACTTATCTAGTGAATGTTGAAACACCAGGAATGGGATTGTAGATATAACTTTATAATAAGTATTTTTGATATGGTGACAGCAGGATCCAGTAGACAGAAAAGTGCTTACTGATGCGTATTTATTCTGACTTGCCCTTGGCTTGCGGTTACCTATTGGTAATTTCAAAGAAATCCCCCATGTGTGTCATCCATTCTCCTTTAATCTCGAATCTGACATGATATTTATTTATAAGGATGGAATTCCCTTTGCTTTCTTCCCTTGCTTTGTGTTTTTCACTTCTTCTCAATTCTTGGCAGCAATATTTATTGTATTAACTTTACCTTGCAGTTGGAATTATAATACTTGCTTCAAAATCTGCAGATACATTTGTTTAAAAAAAATGCATTTGCCTATTTCCTTCAAACCAGCAGGGGTAGGGGAGCCAGACTCCCAACAGGTAATTATCTTCAAGACAAATAGATTCTTTCAAACAGTAACACTGTGATACTGACCTCTCACTTGTTGGAGACAAATGGGGACAGCAAGATATTGAAAAGTAATTGTGTGATACACTGTGAGCAAGAGTAGAGGAACATCTGATAATAACTCATATTTGATCTACCTCTGCAAATCTCAGCTAGGGTACATTTTGTTCATTGTTATTGCTGTCGAGTATGTGAGGAGCCTTCCATATAAACACTCAAACTTTTGTTTTTTTAAGTTGAATAGGTATGTAATTTGTAAATCACCCTCTACTTTGTATGCAGTATTTCCATCAGTTTGTTCACATGCACTGTTTTGAGTATCAGAAAAGATAACTCAAACTCATTCTTCTCTTAACTCTAAATTGAGTGAGTCACCCTGCATTGTTCTGCAAAATCCCTTTAAACACGATTTGCAAATCTCCTTATTTATTTCCCGGGAAAGGATCAATGCCTGGCTGTTGGTAAACAACACAAGGCATATAGCGTTAAGTAGGGCAGGCCAAACAGAACTCATTAGAGTGACATGGCATAAAGGTTTTTACCTAGTTCTCTGCGGATTGTATTTGTCTCTTACTTTCCTCTGATCAGATTAAGCTGTTGGTGTTTGGGAGCTTAAAGGAACAGATATAAGAGCTCGGACTGGGGTTGTGGTCTGTAGAAAAAGGTTTTGGAGAGCGGCGCACAATTGGAAGATGATACGGGATCGTTTTGTCAAGACAGGCATGGTAAAAGTAGTCACACAGAATGTTGGTTGGTCCTGAGGTTGGCATATAAGGGAACGACTAATTGCTAGCTGAAGTCTCACTCTATAATTTCTGACAGTGGGAAAGCATGTTTGGACATTTGGTGGAGAGCGGAAGTTTTGACCTCAAGGTTGTCCTCTCTAATTCCAAAAACCACTTCAAAATCACTGCACGTAAAAATGCCTGCATGTATGCACATGCACACACACTCAGAAAACCACTGTACGCTCATAGTTTGTGCTCGCTTTGCATTTTCTTTTCTCATGAAATGGAATAAGTGGTGTGGGGGGGTGTTGGGTGATTGTGCTTCGCTACCCTCAAACTGAATGGTCATTTTTATCTGAGCAGTGAAGTGAAAACTCTAACAAACAAGCTGGCAACGCAGTTTCCCCCCTCACAGAGACAAAGACACCGGTGTCCTTTCTAAGCATCACAAACGCGGGGGCTCTCTGTTTCCATAGGCATTCTGGGACACGGTAATGTAGGGATGCTCATTTTTAAAGAGTGACGTAATACAGAGCACATGGTTTCAATTAGGTTTTTCTTTTTGTCTGCATGGGAGAAAACTGGTTGTATTGTATCTACTCCAAGGATTTAAAAATAGGCATTCTCTCTGTTACAGTTTGCAATGGGTGTGTGTCTGAGAGGAAATGTATGATTTGGTTAAAAGACTTCTAATGCACATGTTAGGCACTGTCCAATTTCGTGTAAAAGCCCATCATTTCATTTTCCTTTCTTCTTATCGGTCTTGAAACATAAATGGTGTTGTTATGATCAATAATAATGGGTCTGCAGCAGCCGAAGTGGGCAGCCTCCATTTATGTGTTTCTTTTGAATGATACTTAGTTCTCCTCCATTATCTATGGATTTACCTTTTTTAATTAGCTTTTTTTGAAACATTGATTATGTGGAAAATGGGAGAAAAACATCTGGGTATCTAGCAGTTTTTGTTGTTGTTATTATTACTTTATTTAAACTCTTAACTTTTTGTTGTTTAGGTTTATTTATCTTTGTATAGGTTACTTGTTAATGTTGCAGTAATACGTGCTAAAGACTGGAACCTTTCAGTGTGTTTGCCTTATTGCTAGTTGTCAATGTTCACTTTTTTCAACCCTCCAATTACTAGAAAATAACATAATATAAATAAAAATCATGATGTCAATGTATAGATTGCATCTGGAAAATATAAATCCAACCATAATGACAGGAAATCCAAGTAAATTAGGCAGCAGTCTAATCTGATATTGTCTCAGAGGAGTGAACTGATACTGAATCAGATGGGTGTCTTCGCTCTTGTTCAGACATGTCAAACCCACACTGAGAGGGCTTAACATGGGGCGTGCTGTTTAAAGACTACCCTGCTCCACACAATGCTTGCTGAAAGGCCCTTCTGTGAGGGATGAACTTTTCTCCTCACCCACAACAAGTGAGACACTTAGAGGAGCACAAGGCTCTTTGTGCATAGAGGTCAGAAATAAGCAAACATTTTAGCAGGGGGTGTTTTTACTTTAATTGTAGTGGGATAAGGAATTTGTGGCTCAGGTCTACCTAGCTATGAGTCATGCAGGCTTTTAGCATACATGAGAAGATACATTACAAACATGTTTTATTGTATGGTGACAGTGGTAACCTTATGCTGTCATTATTTTCACATTAGCATCTCCTCAAGCTCAAAAGCAAACCATCATTGCTGCAACAAACAGGCTTACTGTAACGATGACTGCCTGTTGACTGTGAGCACTTTAATTGTTATGGTTTAGACATGGGGAGGGGAGGGAGTATGGGGGGTTCACCTGGTATTACACACCTTGTTGCCTGGAGACATAGAGTCTACTCTCTCATGTTGGAGATTATATCTTCCTCTTGGGGGGTTCAGATGGTGAGAAAACATGATCCAAAACAGGAAGGTGGTCTTTGTTCTAATAGTTGTTATGACACATAGTTGTGTACTCCATCCCTGTGGGAAACTGGCACTGCTTGTAGAGTTGTCATTTGTGTTTTTTAGTTGTGAGGGTTTGTATTGTTCTTCATTGTGGTCTTTTTTTTAAGTGTGATTATCCAGACTAAGTCTTTAAATGTCACTGGAAAATCCAAACGAGTTGAATCAAGCCTGGTAATGACTGTCTGTTGAAATGGATTAACTCAGTCCTGTTCAGCGATTGTACTGTGTTGAAACCTTATATTCAAATGGGCTGCGTATATTTTACATACCATAGGTGTTTCACAATCCCTTCTTGGAAGTTGTGTGTTTATACGTTTTAAATATGTTATGTAAAAATACGGATATGAGCAAATAAGGGAGAAAAAGGGAATATTTTGAATGTGTTTTATTCTGGATCTATTTGCTGTTCACTTTTATATTGATCATTGAGCTGATCGTTGAAATTGCTTATGTCCATAACACAAAATAGTTCTATTTACTATCAGTTGAAAATAAAAAAAACTAGCCAATACCCGTATTTCAAGAAACAGTTCACTTTTTTTATTTTATTTTGTCCTTTTGCTCCCTCAAAATAACTTTTGACGTATCAGTTGTTGTTGCAGTGTGTTATGTTGTTGATCTTTTCTCTGATAATATTGTCTGAATCCGCACTGGGATGGAAGTGCAATGGCAAATATAAAAAGAAAGATTGCTTCGCCTGGAGGGTATGGTGTAAATAAAGGTTGAAAGTTTGCCAGTTTGGAAGGCTATATCTTTCTAACCATTTGACCCTTTTTACTTCAGTACGCTTTGTACTGCACGGCTCCCAAGTCCACAGTAAACTGCACAGAAGTTAGCTGTGACGTTTTACTGTGCAGCAGATAAAAGATGATTTGAAAAAAGTAGATGAAATGACATTCTCATAAAAGTTCATCACAATCTTCTATCTGCCAGTACGTCAAAGTGTACTACAAACCTGACCAGACTGTAGATAGGCTTTAACGAATGTCTACTGAATCCACCACAAAATGTATTGCACACAATGTAGATAGCTTTTTTTAAATTAATTTTTTTATTTAGCCTTTATTTATACAGGTAACATCTCATTGAGACACAGGGTCTCATTCTCAAGAGAGACCCGATCAGTGGTAACAATACAACACAAAGTTACAGACAGACAGGACACTTAACACAGAGGGAACAATCAAATAAAACATCGTAAACAGTAGTCATTCAAAATGCATATGGTCAGATATTGCAGGGGCACAGATGATTTCTCCTTTACCATCATCCAATGGAAAACTCTGTTAATGCCATATAATCTGTAGCTGCTGTCAAATTGGTTAAAATAGCTGGAAATGCATTTAAATTCTGCTCGACTTAATTTAGTTTTTTGCCTTTTTCCTTTTAGACTCTTTCGTCAACAGCCAGGAATGGACATTGAGTCGGTCAGTGCCAGAGCTGAAAGTGGTGAGTAACTTTTTTTATATTACTAACAGTCCCTCCGAGGTTTCATCTTACTGGGCGATTTAAATGTCAATGGGAAACATGTTCTGTCCTTGTAATACTGGTTTTGCATATTAAAATGAGGGAGCAGTAGAGAGATTGGCTGGACTTCTCCCTGGCATGTACTGGGTGATTTTTAATGAGATGCGTTGGCATGGAGATGGAGGGTGGCTTGCAGAAGGACGGGAAATGAGTGACAGTTTTGGGCTAGACTAGTGACACATCCCGGGTCGGATCCCACCCGCCAGTGAAGCACACACACAGCCGCTGCCAAATGCACAACTAACATCGTCACATGATTTAATTCCTTCCACTCATAACGACTAGCAGGCTTTAGAAAGTGCTCTCTACCAATCTGACAGTTTGAATAATATTTCTGTGTTAGATGAATTAATTGTTGTTGCACCTTGCATAAGAGAAAACTTCAGTGAAATACAAAGGGGGAAATTCACAAGTAGCTCAAAGAACAACTTACCTTTTTGGCTTCAAACACTTGAAATGCGTCTGTTTTCCTTTTAAGCTTCTGAGGTGTTCATTGGCAGCTTCCACACAGGGGTTTGTTAAATGGACCTGGGAAGAATGAATAAAATGTCTCCAAATAGCAATCATTCTTTTTTCAAAACATTCAAAGAATCCTGTGAAGCGACAAGGTCATACTGAAAAGAAGATCTTACAAAGCTTTCATTTTGACATCAAAATCTTTTTCTTCTTGTTCATACCACAGTTATAATGACAGGAAGTGGGGTCAAAACACTTCCTGATGATTAGTTTAAATGATCAAAGGGTAAGAGAGCCTTTTAAACATTTGCTACAACAGTGAGCTGTACCGTGGTACTGTAGTTTCACAATGACTACCTAACTGTGGTCAAACCTTATTTCATTTCTATCTTTTGATTATCAAGTCCGCACTTTGCAAAATTCCAAGATCAAATCCGAACATCTACAAAGAGGACTCAAAGTGTTGTACTGGTTAGTGCTGATACAGCGTTTGATTTTCATGAGGGCTATATACCAGCAGGTCACAAAGTCAAACAGCAGGAACACTGCTCCAGCGGTACGTTCAAAGTCGATTTTTGTTGACTCATTGCTTTCACTACACACAGCCTACAACTTTTGCTAACTTAAAGCTTATTCATAGTTTATTCTGCTGGGGTACCATATGGTATATATATATATATACTTCAATTATAGAGAGGGGGTAGGCTGGGAAAGGCCTTAAACAGATATTTTCTGTGCCTCAAACCTCCCTATAATTAGAACCATACCTGACTTTAACACCAACTAATGATCTAAAGAAGAGGAGGGTGATGGTGGGTAGAGGAGAGGGAGGAGATGAGGCATGTTGCAGCCTTTGTTCTTCCCAGACGTGCTGGCATCCTCAGCCCACCCTCCGCCACGCATCCCCCTGAAGGCACCATAGCCAGGTCTGGTCTAGACACCAGGGAGAGGAAGCGGGGGAAAGACTGCAACCAAACCGATGTTGGAGGACTTTCCTCATAATGTTCTAACCGGCCCGCGTAAATAACCAGATCGTGGTTTTCAGGGTTTTGTTCCTTAACTATAAACCAAATGTACTTTCCATTACTCCCCAACATTTTCTAAGCATTCGATACATTTCTTTTTTGATGTTGTACCTTCAAGGCAGCAGTTTGTTTCAATAAATGCTAGTATTGAAGTGAAATGTACTTGAAGAGATCTCAATCAAAATGAGTCACCTTTCTATTTTGTATTTGCATGGTATTTACAAGCCAACCAATACGATATTTTCAAGGCAGTTATTATATCAATTGCTTGGACACTCAGACAGTTACTTAGACATTTGTTACACAAATGTCAAAACAACAATATTGTATTTTACAAGCTTTTAAGTGATCGGTTTGGCTCTAATGGTTAGGCTGTTGTAAGTAGAAACTGTTTTGAAAACCTTTCCCAGGTGATGAAGTTAAGAAAACTCTTGCAAAAATTGCACATTTCACTTTTTTGTGCCACTGCCATGGTTAAGATTGAAGGTTCCATCTTGACCCTGGAAGCAGCAGCTTGTCAACAACACATCCTAACACAAGCTACGCTAACCTTGTGTTTCCGAAGCTTTAAACGGGAATTTCGTGACCTTACTCAGTGGATAGAGTGGAAGTTTAAATCTCCGGAAACACTAACTGAGACGACCTTGTGCTGAGACTTTTACTCCCGTCATCATTATTGTCCTTCAAGTCTACATATGCTTCTGGTTTGTACCTATTCCTGTCAGAAATAATCACTGTATTTTGCTCTTCGCCTTTCAGGGCATTGTGGGAAATCTGTCCAGTGGAAAGTCTGCTTTGGTCCACCGGTACTTGACGGGCACATATGTGCAGGAAGAGTCTCCTGAAGGTAAGAGTCTGCTGTCGGAAGTGTGGATTCAGAGGGGATTATAGACATGTGAGACACTCAATCAATCTGTAGAAGCTTTAGATTAATGCAACACCTTCAGTGTGGCTCTTATGGCCTCATTCACCTGACAACGTGTCATATGAAATACATGCCTGCTGACAGATTGAAACCTTTTCTTTCCACAGTGTCAGCCTCTCGCAAATCAAGAGAAGCCTTGATGTTAGATTACTCACAATCTGGTGTGTTTCAAAAGCATTTGATTAGTGCAATTATACAGAAGCCTGCAGGCTGGTGAATACCTTTTTATTTTGTTCAAGCATTTTGGCAATGATTGCTACATTGTAAAGACAGATACCAATATTAGGCTGAGCATATAAAGATGTTTACATGACGCATGATGCCTTATGAGAGTATATTCGTCTAATACATTTATATTAAAGATAAATAAATAATTAGAATCAAGCTTCCTGATGCCAACATTGATAATTGCCTGGATGCATTCTTATAGATTTCTGTGTTTTTCATGACAAAGCATAACATTTCCAGTGAGTAAGGCCTGTGAAGATTTCTCCGTACTAACTAGAAGGTAAACTAAACCCCATCATTTCTCAAGGACTGTAAATGTGTCTTTTTATAACCATCAGGGGCTGTTTGCATCCTGGATGTCCTGGTGGAGAGCGTGCCAGTTGACCATGCTTGGAAAGGGACCCCTCGCCATTTTAACTGACTCTTGAGATTTAAAAATCAGATTTTCTTAAATGTATCATAATCAAAATCATAATGAGAATGCCCCCCCCCCCCCCCCCCCCTTCTGGCCTGACATGTTACTCCTCCTCTCATCCAATCCAGAAGCATGTTAGCCAACCCAGAGTTAACTGATCATTTCTGAAGGGTTTGCAGTGTTTCCTTTTACTGTAATTATAGGGAGGATGAGACATGAAGCGCATAATTAGTTTCTGGCATTATGCTGCACCAAGGGAGAAAGAATCCTCATAGCTTAATTAGTCCTTGAGAAATCAATGTTGGAAATGCTAAAAGAACAGAACAAGCATTTTTCGCTGTAATCAAGGAAACATGTCGGCTCAGATATGTCCATTGCAGCGCGTTGCTGTGATACAACATACGGGCTCTCTTTGTTTTATATTCACGTTAATGGCTTCACTCCAGATTGATTTTGTTACATCGCAGAAGCGTTTCCCAGCAGAGGAAGGTTCAGTGATGGCTGTTTCTTTAGTCATTTGTTCCTGGGCTTTTGCTATGATATCTGAAAAAAACAAAAAAAAAAAGATACTGGGGTGTGTTTCCATAGCAACACCGGATGGAGCTCCGTTGGATTGTGGCTCTGTGTCAAGGTCTAAGCCTCCGTGTAAGCAGAGTATGCTTACTGCGTGTTAACCGTGCCTACCAACTCGCCGTCTCTCTGTAGGCTGTCTGCAAGGTTGTTAGTCGCCTCTTTTTTATGTAAGGCTGAGCAACACATTGAAATGATTCATAATTTCTTTTTTTCGTCGTGATGTAGAAAAGTGTTAAAAGAGGTATTGTAGCCTGCCTCACTCTTTTTATTATTCACAGCACAAGATCTTTGGATGCATTGTATTGGCTCAGCTCTATATAAAGAAAACTGCATCCTGGATGATTACACAACTGAAAGGTTTACTTCAAATTCCACCCATGTTTTCACCGGAGCCGCATGCTTCCAGTACAGATACTGATTTCAGACAGACTTTCCATAATCTGTCGTGGCGTGTGAACGTGCTGCCAAGCTCCGTATTCTGATAAATCTTTGGTTTCTGTATCATTCTGATCCAGTTTTTCTCACTGTGTAACGAGATCCTCCACATCTTTTTTCCCTTTTTAAACGGGATTCAGAGACATGCAGACACATCGTTTCTCAGTCCTTTCTCAGTCCTTTGTCTGAATCCCCCAAAAAGCTCTGTGAAAAAAAAAAGCTGGCTGGTGGTACGTGAATCTCTCTGTTACACAACCAGCATGCAGCAGGACTTCAGAGGCTGGGAGAATCCCTTATTTGCCAAGCGGGCTAAAGTGGACTTAACGGGGTGGAAGTGTGGCTCAAGTGGATATGTATTGCTTGCTGAGACAGGAATACTGTCCGCCTATTAAAAATGACAGGGCTCGGCTACTGTATGGCCCTTACAGCTCCTCTGTGATGTAAGATCTGGAGTTCTTGAAATGCAGGTTTGCAGAGAGAATCAAGAATTACAAGGCTGATCTCTGTGATCCCCGTTCTCCGACTATTATCTAACCATATGAATATCTTAGCCAACGTGTCCTCTTATGAAACTCCTCGAAAATCTGTAACAGGTGTACTTTTATTCTGCGCTCACATCCACTGCAGCATTTGTTTGATACATTTAAACAAATCCTTCCCAGGCCTTGTCAAATGTGTGCATTATTCAGTTTTGTCAAATGGCTTTAAGCATATTTTCGTATTCATAAGACACCATTTCACTCCTAGGGACATCTATATTCTCACAACTTTCTCATTTGAATGTTTTTAATCACTGCAGGAATCTCAAACTATTCAAATGATATGCGAAATCTAATTTACTGCATAGTTCTCCCACTGATCTCTTCTTTATCTGCAGCCAGCTTTTGCTAGAGGCAAGGAATATGCATTTCTATCAGAGAAGAAATTAAAAAGGGAGAAACTCAAGGCTGAGCAGTGTTCGCTCCCCACTTCTCTCTAGTGGACATGCTGTGTCCTGAGGCGCGTCAGCAAAGACGTGTTTCGCCTCTGATTGTATCTCCCATCACCTCTTCTCTCCTTTAGTCTCTTTTCTGAAATTACTCTCCCTGACTTATCATTTTATTGCAAGGTGTAATGAGTTATGTTAATGCTGTGAAAACCAATGTTCTAATCCTCTGAAGATCACGCAGAGAAGTGATGCTCTGAACGTGATAATGTTTTTGTAGAGAAAGTCTGGCCTCTCCAGGACTTGTGGCTGTGGCTCTGAACCTGTTCCCTCAGCAGCTGTGCATTAGACACGCTAAATGGCCATTTCTCGCCCACGTAATTGGCTCCAGAGAGACCTGGTTTCCTGTTGGCATATGATCCTAATGGCAAAACATTCAGGGGACTAAATGGAGGGTTGCACTTAGTCTCATACATGTCTCTACAAACTTTAAGAGCCATGTCAAACTGTGTTTTGAAATTTAATTTGGTATCCAGGATGTCCTCATTGTTTTTATGATTAATGAGTGTGAAATGGCTCTGCAGTCTTTTTCTGCTTGGGAACCCCCTGGTGGTCAGTTATCTTAAAAAATTAACAATATCATCCTGCAGCAGCTATGGCCAGACTTAACATGTCTATAAGAATGACCTTGAAACAAACCTTTTCAGTCAAAATAATTAACAAATGTCTCTTCCTCAGGTGGACGGTTCAAGAAGGAAATAGTGGTGGATGGACAGAGCTACCTACTTCTGATCAGAGATGAGGGAGGGCCTCCAGAATTGCAGGTAAGGGGTTTAACCATGATGCACAATTCAATATCTACAATACAATATAATCAAAGTGAAAACATCAACACCAAAAATTCCCATTGCGCGTCTCACCATTTCAGTCCAAGCGCATGAAAGTGTGGCACTTAAAACATTTTTTTAAATTAAAAGTATGGAGTATTTTTCATTAAAATAAAGTGAGCCCAGTCTTAAAATAGTCACATCATATTTTACTTCTTGCGAGTCGATATAAAGGTAACTGAATTAGTTAAATGGGCGTATGATATGGTTTTTATTGATCGCAGCCCTCGAATCAAAATCATATCCTGGCAGATTTTGTGAGGTTTCTAAAGTTGCCCAAAGAATCAATATAATGTTGTGTTAACACCAAGAGTGTTAATCCTGTAAAAACGTCTCTTAAGGCCAAAGCTGCAAGATGTGTCAGACAGAAACTGTCATGCAGGCAGGAACTGTTAGAGACAGACCATTGGTTCTCTGCAGGACAGTTTGGAGCAGCGGGACAGCACTCTGCCTGTTCTTCCAAAAGCACTTAAGGGGCAGCAACAGATCAATGGGTAGGCCCAGCCAAAACATTTTTTTGTGGTCAAACTCTGCACCTGATCCCCCTGTGCGTATTTGAAATATTAAGATGAATGGAGCTACCTTTAAAAAAAAAAAAAGCGGTCTTCACTAAATCTGATGCAATTTATGCAGTCATTCTGACACTGCACAATACCTTCTCAACAGCGTCACACTGCAGACAGATAATGGTGGCGTCTACCTGGGGAACACACTGAGGCACTTGTGTTTTATGAGCCAGATATTTCCTTCAGGAGTTAGTTCAGACCAAAATAGCTATAGAATAATAAAGAGTAAATAGCACTTTAGTTTGTCTGAAGGTCAAATTACAACTTTGAATGTTGTTTGTGTCTTCCCAATGCGTAAAAAAAGCAACTAAGTCACAATATCAACTCAAAAGTTTGGTGTGTTCTTGTTTTAAGTGGCTTAAAAATAGTGAACCCATGTTTAAGTACAGTATTTAAATAAATGTATGAATCAGAATCAGAAACAGGTTTCTTACCAGGTAGGTTAACACATACGAAGAATTTGACTTGGTGTTGTGGTGCATACTTAAAAATAAAACAAAAATTAAAAACACAGATAGAAAACTATAATAACATTCAAAAAATATAGTAAAATATAGCAGTATTTACATTGAATATGATTGAAATCGTAGAAATTGAATTGGAATAAGATATGTGCAGTAATGAAACACAGAATTATTGTAAACATTGTGTGCATTGTGTCTGCCCAATGTGTAAATGAGCAACTATCTGCCAACACATTCACCATATCAACTCCAAAGATTGGTGTGTTCTTGTTTTAAGTGGCCCAAAAATAGTGAATGCATGTTTAAGTACAGTATGTAAGTAAATGTATGCTGTTACTTTCCACTACTAGCACTGTCACATGTAATCTCAGTGGGATTTGACCATGCATTTCCATTAGCAGCTACTGATACCAACCCTGGCAAATCTCCAAATGTCCACTTGCCTTATGCTCAGTGAGATTAGGGGAATAGAAATGTGTTTGGTTCAGTTTTAAGCTGCCTGTGTAATTATTGGCGTAATTAAAGGTCTCCATTATGTTCACTCTCACAGGAGGCTGAGCAGAGTTGTGGCTTGGAGGCTTGATTTGCCATTCATACCTTATGGGGGGGTCTGGGTGGGTTGAAAGCTCGATGGACATGAAGGCATTGTGGGGGAATAGTTATCCCTTGATTGTCACTGCAAGCACTACTCTGGGTTCTGTAGCGTCTTTCCCACAATGCGTGCTGATTAGGATTGATTTCCTGCACTAAAGGGAGACATCTCTCCCCTGTTTGATCATAAACTATGCCTGGATTGTGAATATATGAGATGAGCAAATACAAACATTCCTAGATTATGATAGCAGTGGGAATACAGAAAATAGATGAAATGCAGTGGTTGTGTTTAATCAGTCACTTTTATATCGCCTAAAAGCATTTATTTGCCTATGATCAAGAACTCACCATGGCTGTTGCTACACTGCCCCCTTCTGTCTGTATGTAGGAACTTCACTGGAGTGAATTCCGGCAACACATAATAGTTAAGCTCTCCGCATCTAATTTCACACTTATTTCAGGGAGCCATTAAAGAACAAATTACATTCATTAAAAATGTGCTTTTAAGACATCATTTTTGTTCAATAATTTCTGTCTCAATCGTTTTTTCCACCAAAAAGTTAAATTGCATTATTAAAAACCATTACATTAACGTCTCTCCTTCTAGGATCTATGAATGTGCTAATGTTATATATGATAAACTGCACAGAAAATGCACTTACTGGCACAGAGAAACTTAACTTTGAAAAGTCCCAGTTAATACTGCTGCTAAAGTTTCTGCATATTACATCATGATTGGCTTCCACACTAGTTTTGATGTGGGATGTTGTTGGTGCGCACACTTCTTAAACTCCTAATGAAAGTGAGCATAGACAAACATAACCTTTCCAGCAGATGGATGATGAAGAGTCTCGTCATTCTGCACAGTGAAGCTAAACATCCAAATAAAGTAACAAAAAGCTATGTTTCCCAGACGATAAATATCTGTTGTGTGAATGCTCTTGTGCAATCATGAGGCAGCTTATATTTCACAGAGCTTCCTTCAACATCTCTCTGCTCCGTCCTCAGTTTGCTGCCTGGGTGGATGCGGTGGTGTTCGTCTTCAGCCTGGAGGATGAGATCAGCTTCCAGACAGTCTACAATTACTTCTTGCGCCTATCCAGCTACAGGAACACAGCTGAGGTCCCCATGGTGCTCGTTGGAACACAAGGTGATTGCCCTACATCTGATGTATGTTTATTCAAGATATTGCTATCTCCATGATGCAGCTCTACATTCTCTAACATTGTCTTTACACAGACGATTTGATCACTGTCCACAAATCCCTCAACAAGACCAAAGCTGACACTGATTTGTCGTATTAACAAGTTTTACATACTGTAGCTTATTTCTGCGTGCTCCTTTGTTGTTTAAAAACTCTGAGAAGACATCAGTGAGCCCCGCTGTCGCAGTGGGTGACATGTTTTCTCGTTACAGTGAACATGGGCTCTGTAGTTTATTTTTAGTTAATCCTACATACACCCTCCTGCTGCCGGAGTAACTCACTAGCACATCCAATGTGTGTTAATCCGCAGCTGAAAATGTTCCCTAACAACTACTTACTCCTCTTCTAGTAATGTTACTTTTAAACGACAGCGCTCATATGCGAAAAGGAATTACTAATTTAAATTAAAGGTCCCCTATTATACTGTTTTTCATCAATATATTATAGTTCTCAGATATATACAAACATGTCTCTGAAGTGTTTGGCTCGAAATACCAAACAGATCGTGCATTGTAGCATCCCATATACCCCTCTGTTTCAGCCCTGTTTCAAAAGTGCTGATTCTCTGTCTGTTACTTTAGATGACAATAAGGAGCCCCTCCCCACGCCCCTCTGAGAGATATTTGGTTAAAAAGAACACAATGGTGCTCTAGGAGGAGATTCAGGTGATAAGGTGGGCGGGGGTTACCTTGGTTGGTTATTGGCTAATGGTTGCACAAGTCAAAAAATCGTTATGACATCATAAAGTGGCCAAAATCTGATCAGCTCATTTCAGACAGGTTTTTATATAAATGGATCAGGACAAAAAGAGAGAGAATCTTTCTTCCTGAAACGTTCAGACTCTCTTTACACAGAGGGGACACATGTTTATTTATAAAAGACATGAAAAAGTGGATTTTGCATAATAGGTGACCTTTAAAAGTACCGTCTCTCTTTGTTAAATTCATTGCCTAAAACAAAAAAAACTGAGTATCACCAGCCTCATCATTTAAGTGAAATCTTTGTGTAATATGTTTTCCTCCCCTCCTAGATGCCATCAGTGCTGCCAACCCCAGAGTGATCGATGACTCGCGAGCCAGAAAGCTGTCAAACGACCTGAAGCGCTGCACATATTACGAGACCTGCTCCACCTATGGCCTGAATGTGGAGCGCGTCTTTCAGGACGGTAAGAGGGGTGCCAAAAAAGTTACAAACATTGAATAAACAGGAAGTACCAGAGGTAGCTTTAACATGATGACGATGTTGTCACTTCTTTCAAACATGAGTTGTTAAATTGGTTCTTCACTCCTCGCTAATTGTGAAGTACTTCCTGCTGTTCATGAGTTATTGTTAGCATCATGCAATAATGCCTGTGCATGCTTGACTCATATGCGGTTTGCTCAGCAACAATGATTGGCAGTATACTTTGTGAACAGTAACATTAACAGGCTCACTTAAAATAATAATACACCAGACCTTTTCAATGAAACACAATCGTCAAACACTACAATTATTAATCACGGAGGCTAAAATCATGATTTCAATGTGGGCCTCTAAGCTACCAGTTAATATTCATTTGTTTATGAATGGTGGAGTGCTTTCTTAATGTCTCTTAAAAGTATTTGGAAACTCAGAGTTTTTCCCGGAATCCATAATTGAAGTCATGAAACTGTCATTTGGAAACTTGGCTGCTTTAACTCTGGCACATTATCCCCTAAGGCTGCAGCTCCTTTCAAAGCCTGTCATCCCTACACAAAACATCTGAATATGTAACACAGCGTTCACTTTGCATGTCATTGACTTGATGCACAGGCACGTTGTCTTCTCTCCTTGCCGTAATTGCTTCCTGAAGCCCAATTTTGAAATAATTAAAAGAGATGAAGGAGCTTCGGCTGCTTGGCGATGTCGCTCTGTATCTCTTGCCTTCTCTGTGTTTGCCATGCTGAAGGAAGCAGCCGGGCGTTATGGTCCCTGCTGTCGGCGTAACATCAAATCATCTCTCTTTTCCCCCTGGCGCTAATTCACGTCACGAACATCCCCCCTCCCCCCCCCCCCCCCCCCTCGCTCCACCCAGTCCCTCACTGGTGTGTGCCGTGAATTAAATGCATGTTGCACCAGTTGCATGGCAAATCTGGTTGTTCAGATGGTGACTATAGTCTCATTTGGCTAACAGCTCTCTGTAGAGATCAGTGAATGACACCAAAAGAAATTGCAGGCATAATTGTATATGATTACTTTTCTTGGAAATAGAAGTACTCCCCAGGAGATGTGTGTGAGCCACCTTGCAGTATGTTGCTTATTACCTGACTGGAAAACAAATGGCCCGAGGTGTTTGTGATAATGTGCTCATATGCTTCCTCGTCTGGCTGGAATTAGCTTTGCTTACTTTGTTGAGCTTCATTCGCTTAATATTCTGTTGGTGTTCTGTCTATAAAGAAACAAGAGAACAATACTATTCTTTTAGCACTCAAAGAAGACTATATTGAAATGTTCTGACAACACCATACATATGTGCAAAACGTTATAACGTCATACCTGCCCTTAGTTTTCTCCCCTAATTAAGTTAGCAACTGTTATGTTTACAGTCTTTTAGAACATTTGATTAATTAACTTTCTTCATAGTGAGAATGACACTTTGCCAATTTAATTTGTAAACGCTGGCTAAACATCACGTTCGAATTGACTGAGAGTACATATTTGTACATTTGTGTTGTAGTTAGTGCCTTCTCTACATCTACTGATTATCGTCAGTAGGGGTTAATCACAACACCCCTATATATTCCAAATGAATTTGTCATGAAAACAAAAGTCATGATCCAAGTAATAATAGTAATAATAATAACTTTGATTTATATGGCGCCTTTCAAGAAACCCCATGACGCTTTACAATAGGACGTGGGGCCATGGGGGGGGGGGGGGACAAAAAGGAAAACAAGGGACTAGAAAATAAGAAGATAAAAAACAGAAATAAACAAAGGCTGGTCACAACAATTAAGAGAGAGAGATTAACTGAGGCTTAAAGCCTTGACAAACACATTTAGTTTGAGTGCTTTTTATTTTATTTCCACAGTCATTTCAAAAGGAAGATAGTTTCTGTTGGTTAAGTAGTTAATGATTGGTAAGTGTTTTCAGCAGATGTCTCTTATTTAAAAATGTCATTTGATCTCTCAGTAGTGTGGTAGGGTTAATCTCAGAAAGTAGAAATGTAGTAACTATCTACTGAGGAACATGTTTGAATCTTGTTTCTTTGTTCTTGTTAAGTCTCCCAAATTTCTCCGAATTCCTTTGAATAAAAAAGATGTTTATCAGGAGTCATTTGACAGGATTAATGAACAATGTGTTCCTGTGTCTCTCTTCTCCAGTTGCCCAGAAGGTTGTGGCCATGAGGAAAAAGCAGCAGCTCTCTATTGGTCCGTGCAAATCTCTCCCCAACTCTCCTAGCCACTCTTCAGTCCCCGCTGCAGCCATCCCCTCTGTTCACATCAACCAGGTAAAACTCCAATCATCACAGACGGCACACTGTTCTTTTCTGTATGTGTAACACTTCTCATAATGATAACTTATTTTATCTGTGTGGGAAAATAAAAAGAATGTCCCTCAGTATAAATATCTCTCCATCTTTCCCTCTCGTCCTACCTCCCTTCTTCTGTTTCTGTCGTTTCCTCTTAATCTCTCTTGTTCCCCAGGCGGCCAATGGTGGGGGTGCGTTCAGCGACTACTCCTCCTCTGTTCCCTCCACCCCCAGCATAAGTCAGCGGGAGATGCGCATTGAGACCATCGCTTCCTCCAACACGCCCACGCCCATCCGCAAGCAGTCGAAGCGCCGCTCCAACATTTTCACAGTAAGTATGCGACAGCTGATGCAAAGCAACACCCACTCACACTACTAGAAGGCATGTTGCCAAGCACACTTTGTCCACCAGAGGGAGACGGGTAGCTCCAAATGCATCAAAGCCACCTCTCCTGCCTCCCATGCAGGCAAAGAAAGCGTCTTGTTCACACAGCACAAAGAGCAAAGGAGAAATAGAAATTAAATTAGATCCCCAAATATGCTCTAGAAGTATAAACCCTTCTTTTCAAAGCAAATACTAAAGATAAGCACTGTGGAAAACAACTCTTTACATGTCCTTTTTTTCTTTTCCAATTGGATGTAGTAAGTGCCCATGGATTAAGTCTTTCATCTCACCCATAACAAACTAGGCCCTCTGCACTTTTCTAAATGTTTGACCTCCCTCCCCCTCCCCCTCTTATTTTTTACTAGATCCTTTCTTTGCAGTGATTTCCCTTTTGGGAGGAGACAGCAGCAACAAACCGCCACTTCTCCAAGCTAAACTAAAAGTCCGAGCCAGCCAATGCCCTGTTAACACGCTGCTAATAACGCACCCCCCCCCCCCCCACCCACCCACCTCTCATCAGCGCCCCAACTCCAGACAGAAATGCTCACCCAGCCATCTCCCTGATTCTAAAAAAAACAAAACAAAAAAACTCCCCAATCTCTACCCAACTTACTTCGAACCTGGCCCAAATCCGATTTCGCCCTCCCAGATTCACAACCAGCCCAGTACCCCTCCCCCCCCCCCCCCTCCCCCCCACCCCCCCCCCCCCCTGTCTGCCTGCTCTCTACCCCGTGTCCTGTCGTATTTGCCCTTCGCTCTAACCAATAGCATATGTGTGCACTAACCACTCTAATTTCCTTAGCTGTCGTAAGCTTGTCTTTTACTTGTAGCCTCTGCCCCCTTCTTCTACCCAGCCTGCCCCCCCCTCTCCTCCTCTCTCTGCTCTTCTACTCCAGCCTCTTCTACGCTGCTAAGCCTCTCCTAATCTCACATGGCCAGCCCTCTGCCTCCGAGAGTTCAGGGAGGTCTTCAGGAACTCTTTTCCTTTTTAAAAATGACTTTTTTATTGTTATTAAATAGTCCTGCAGAGGCTGTTTTTACCTCCCAAAAAAAGCCAATGTGGGTTTTCAGAATGCCCGAGTCAGCTTTTCCAAAGTGTAACGTATCCCTGTTTTTATCCCACAATTTCAATATTTTCCCCCACAATTTAGTTTGATTTATAAGACGGAGATCCGGCTATATGAGATTATTTCTTTCTGAACTCCTCCCCTATACCCTTCCCCACCTCTAAAATGTCTCTTCTCCTCCACCTGTCTTCTTCCTCCTCACCCCTTTGCCCTCTGACCCCTGTCTCCTCCCTCCTTCTGTCCTTCTGCCTCTTTCTATCCTATCCCTATCTTCCCCCCCCCCCCCCCTCTTCTATATCTCCTACTGCCTTCTCCCTGTTACCCCGGCTGCTTTGGGAGCCGCAGGCTTTGTGGCCTCCGAGCAGTACAGGCTGTTTGCTAGCTCCCCCTTGTTGTCTCCCTTCCCCCCCTGCTAGGTAGTGACTAACCATGTCCACCAGAGAAATGAGCCTCTCCCCATCCGCGTCATGGAGATACCGAAGCACGCCACCTACCCAGTGTGGGTGCCGGAGTGGCAAGCCGAGCGGGAGTTTCAGCTCATGACCTTCTGAGGAGCAGCGAGCCGGGGGTGGGAGGAGGGAGGGGGAGGGAGATGATGATGATGATGAGGAGGAGGAGGAGGAGGAGGAGGAAGCAGAGGAGGAGGGAACGGGAAGTTAACAGGGCGACATTTCTTCAGTGACACTTGAAGAGTGCGATGGGCTAAGGAGACGAAGACTTGCCGTGCCAACCTTTTTTGCCATTTTACAAAACAACAGAAAGAGAAAAATATTTCATCAACAATATCGAGGATGTCCCTTTCCTAGCTTTGTCTGTTTTAAAAATATATATATTGACATCTGTGTTACAAAGTTCTATAAAAGTTCTGCTCTCGCTGATAGACAGCAGGCTGCCATTCAGAAAGCTGTCATGTTTTCTTGTAAGTAGTTCATTTTATGTTAATTTTTAGGGAGTTTAAAGAGAAGTATTCAGAAAGAAAATATGCCTTAAAGTCATCAGTAGACAAGCTTTGACGGATCAATATCAGACTCACTTTATCAAACTCACTTTACCCAAGCCATTACATACAAGGTATTTTGTTCTCAGATTAGAGAAGAAATTGCTGCAGTTAATTCATTTTGTTCACTTATAATCAGATAAAAAAATATCCCGCTGTGCAATGGGACTTTTTAAAATGTCCCCTTTCAATGTGCAGTTTATAGAGTTAACTGTTCGAGTTAAGATAATCGCTTTTGGGATCAGTCTTTTGCCCAGCATTAATCTGACTACAACACATCTGATCTAAGACTTACTTATTCATTAGAAAAGCCCCTTAACAAACTATAAACCTTTTTTTTTTATTATGTTGTTTTTGCCGTAAGTAAGTAAACAACTCAAAGCTTTACGACAGAAGATTTTATCACTTCTTCTTTTCACCACCGTCACAAATCAATTTCACCAACCGCAATCATTTCAAGCCAGTTTTGCCATTACTGTCGTCGGCCACTAGGTGTCAGCACAGTACACATATTTTTTCCTAGTGCTTCCATGGTCAATATAACTCCAAACGATCCGTTTTGTAATCTGTTGTTCCTGACGTCTCAGGCTGTCTGTCCCTTTTTGTGTTGAAAAGCACACTGTTTAGGAATTTAGATGAATACTACGGCATTTTTTATACTTAATCCCATACCACTCATCCATTCCTATTCATTTAATCCATGTATTAATGTCTGCCATTAGGTGTTTTCCATTCCATGTTTTTAATCACTTGACATGTTACTGGATCTCCACGTTTAAAACCATAACCAAAACTAAACAAAGAAAAGAAAGAAAAAAAACATTTGACCCTGTTTTTCAATATTTGCAGATTCGTGCTTCTGTTTCCAACCTTTCTTCAACATAAAGGGCTTTCCAACTCCTTCCGAATTAGAAGAGCATGATCGTTTAAAAAGAGAGTCCCCCTGCTTTGCCAATCACGATAGAGAGAAGATTATTTATTGAGAACTTGCACTAAACGGAAACCATAGGACTTTGCGTTTTAAGTCGAGTTCATTCGAGCGCGCTCAAAGTAGACTGTCAAATATCACAAAGCGAGACAGACTCTAGGGACTCTTCTGGAAATGCCCTGCCCGCCCCTACCCCCCCCCACTCCCATTCAGACATGCCATACAAACACACGCTGGACAGTCAAGTCACTCTTGGAACTGTTATCCAGCCACCCAATGGACACAACCTTTCCTTACACCACATCACACTGCCTTTCGCCATAAATGAGGACTCAAGGACTAGACATGCCAAGTTGTTTTTTTGTTCTTCCTTTTCGAATTTCCTACATTCATTTGGTTTGGTTTTATTTGATTCCTTCTTATTTTCCAGGGAGTATTGAATGAAATTGAAACATGTGGTATAAATGTATTATCATAGAGGTATTTTAGAGTAGTTTGGGGTTATTTTATGAAGGCCTTCATAAAAATCAGCGTAGAGTGTGAGGGTGTTGAGGTATTACAGAGAGATATTATACTGAACGTTGCCAACAAATGACACTGGGTTGCACCGACTTGTATGAATGTAGTTAAACTTAACATTTGTTTTTACTTTTATTTATTTTAAGTTATTTTTTGCACATTCGATTGTCTTTTATTCATTTATTTATTTTCCTCAGTTTAGGTTTGGTACAGAGATTATGAACTCTTGCATAATCGCTTTTCTATCATGAACGGATTGACGAAAATATAGACTGCTGTATATCTTGTATTGTATTTTATTTACAATGGTACTCTATAAAAAGTACATACATATAAGGAGTATATGAAATAATGCCTTTATTGTTCATCCTATATTTTGTGGGAACTGCAATGTTTGGCTCAATCTGTTGGATATTTTGAAGTGAATTTGTGACTTGCTTTGTATGGTGTCTGTATAGAAGCTAAACAAGTCATCATTAAAAAAATAAAATGTTGGAAAAAATATAAACACCAGAGTTGGTTTACTTGAACTCAGACTCTACCTCTTCTCCATTGGTGACTGGACATTTCTCATGTTCTGAGTGAGACCATACACACTCATGTCTGTCTCTACCTGTGTCACATCTCTACTTGTTTTGGGGTGGGAATTTTTTTTCAAATTGATTTTCATGTAAAGTTATATTTCCTGTCTAACCACTTTTTCCTCTCACAGGCATGACCAGAAACTTGAAATGTTCTAACTTTTCTGACAGTAATGTTGTTTAATATTTGCAAAATGATTTTGTCCTACCAGGTTTTGTAGGTCAAAGGTCGACAGAAGCTACTCTAATTTTCATCTCCTGTTTGATAACCTTTTTCCCCTTCTCTCCCTTTAACCTGTTGTGAAATGTAACGTATGTATCATGCTACAAAAGCCCTTATTAGCGACTATGCTAAAGTCCCTGCTGGCTCTACACTGGTATAGCAGCAGTGGGTCTGCAGGTCCGCTAAGGGCCCGCTCGGGGTCTCTCACAGAGGGAAGGATCCCCAAAGGGTTTCAGGGCTGAGTCATGACTCAATGTGTGGTCGTCCTTGGTCTCCTCTGTGTTGACATGTGTCTATTGTGGTCTTGGTTTGGTCTCTTTATTATTTTATTTTAAACTTGCACGTTGGTGTTACTGCTGTTTGTTCCGCTGGTCTGCTTGTCTGTTAATTTCGAGCTTCTTTTTGAGACTTTTATTTTGCAACGTCGAGTTTCTTCACAATGCTCCAAACACAAACCCTCACTTCTCTTTCTGACCCCCATTCTCTCTTTCCCCCACACACACACACACCCCAACACACACAACTTTGCCCCCAAAACTCCCCTCACACCCCACAACTCCCACAAGGCTTTGCTGTTTACTGTTGCTTCAGTTTGCTGACTGATTTTCTTGTTTTCTTGCAGTCACGGAAAGCCAGTGAACAATCAAAGAGCGTTGACAGTAAAACAGACAGCATAGGCAGTGGAAGGGCCATACCTATCAAACAGGTAAGACACTTTCCTCATTTCTACCATACATTTCTTATAGTTACCTAGGTAAGTATGATCCTTGTTGTGCCATAAGACGTTGTTGTCTGTTAAATGTGGATGTTCTGTGTTAAAGATTTAAATCACAGTGGATTTAGTATACCAGTGTGTACTTGTCATGTCTTGCTTTTACCACAAGATGGCGATGTAATATAACATAACATAAATAACTCAACAAGTACAAGTGTCGCTGAATCAAAGAGAAAAGAAGGCTGGAGGTTAAGACATAACATCAGAAAGGTTATTGGTATTTGTGGTCTTCATATCACAATTAAAAAAAAGAAGTAGCTTTTGAAATTCTAAAGGCACAATAAATGCATTTCTGACCCAGTAAATTGCGGGAAAATTATTAAATTGAATTGTGTGTGTTTCTCAAATGAGTTTAACTTAAAATAAAGGTTTTTTTTGTATTCAATGTCTACATATATTTTTTTTTAAAGCATAACAAAGCCTCAGAAAACTTTTCAAAAAATATGATGTACTGATGCGTATAAAATGTATGAATCTCAGTCACTCAGTTGGGGAGAGATTATTCCAATCCTGTGATCAATTTGGATAATAATCTTAGATTCAAATCGTGGATGCACCGTTTCATAGAAAAACATTTGCTCCCAGTGGAAATGTAATTGTTTTTATTGCTCATAATTGTGCGTGGGTAGTATTTTTGCATAAAGGTTCATTCATGCATATCCATATAATAGACTTTGACAGCTAGGATTAGCTGGAAATCTGATTAGATATCCCAGTAGACACCATTTTCTTTAGTGTTCGTTTCTGACTATTTGTTTTTTGAGGTACTTTCATAAGCAGAAACGTTGTGCTTAACAACTACAGATCACATACTGCCGTTTCTATTTTGACAAGTTTTTTCCCATCGTAAAAGATTATTACAAGTGTTTTTTATCATATTTTTCTTTATGATTTTTTATGTAATCATGCGTTGTTTAAAAGGACCCGCTGTTTAGTACTGAGCAGCAAATTACATATCTGAGTGAGGATCATTTTCTAAAGGTCCGTCTACAACCGAAGGAGAAGTAATTGACACATTGATTAGTAATCACTTATGATTATATGAGGGCTTTTGAAAATGGGTCAGCATCATTATATTATCCTCTTTACCTGCAAATGATACAAGATAATGTCCTTTTTTTGAACATGTTGAGCCAGACCTTCTCATTCCCTTTGGATGAAAATTGCCAAGGCTTTGGTCCAGCGGTAACAATAATGGCAGAGTGACACTTCCAAGCCCCCTCACTCAATCAGAAAATAATGCTGTGGAGAAACCAGTTTAACATACAATATCTATCGGTCCGTCTGTCTGCCACAGATACTAGATGTTCTTGTAATAGATACAAAAGCTTCACAATGTTATAACATGTTTAAAAAATGTAGGATTACATCACAGTCATATTTATTAACACAGCAGATGTTAAAATTGGGGTTTTATTTGTGCCCAACAACCTGAACAATGGCTAAAATCGGTAAGAAATGCATTTGAGAATTTCTTAGTCGACTAACAATCACATGTTTAAGTCAATTTTACTGTTAGTTGATTCATTTGGTTAAGCGACTGAGAACAGGCAGTACTAAAATCACCCCCTAAAAAAACACAATTTTAAATGTAAAACCTAATAGTGGCTATTCTGCAGACATTTAATTGACATGTTATCTGGGAAAAGCTCTTGGTTTTATTGTAGATTAGTGTAATTCCCTGCAGAAGCTGGGTGAATCTGATGAGTGCTGGTGAGCAGAGTTTGGTTTTCACACATTAGAAAGAATCCCCTCTGAGCGATCTTTACTGTAAACTCTCCCATTCTTCTCCAGTACATTACAGGGGGGGGGTCCTCTCTAAAGTCTGGGGCCAGTTTCTCTGAGTTTCATGGCAACTTTTGACAAGAGCCATCCCCCTCTTTTATCTACAAAGGATTTTTTTGGCTATACAGATGTGGAGAGAGGGGGTTCGCCGTGTGACTCGCTGATCTCCAGGCCAGTCAAATGCACAATCAAGGAGATCAAAGTGTCAATGTGGGCTTAATTACCACTGCCCCCCCCTCACCCCATCGAGCCAAATTACACACAGCCCCCCATCTCTTCCCTCTGCTCCTCCTATCTATAAAAATAGTGAGTGAGGATAACAATGCACTCACTGCTGAGGAGCCGCCAACAGCAGTGAGTGCATTCTTGCCCCATCTCCGACCCCCCCCCCCAACACACACACACACACACACACACACACACACACACACACACACACACACACACACACACACACACACACACACACACACACACACACACACACACTTTTCCCTGTCACAAAGGGCTGTCCTATCAGTCAGCCACAGTGGCAGGATGCAGCTTTTCTCCTGGTCGTCTGACAAAAGAAGGGAAAGACACTATCTCCTCTGTGTAGATATGACAATTGTGTAGCCACAGAGACACGTCTGACGATCGGCCTGTTTCCTTATGTCGCACAGCCTGAACACACTCATCTCTTTGTGTGTGTGTGTGTGTGTGTGTGTGTGTGTCAGTGTTGTACGAATGCACAGGGCTCCAAACATGTTGCAATTTGATGCCAAACCACCACACTGCTCAATCCAAATGCGGCAGACAATTAAACAATTATGACAAATTATATCAAATCATTTGTCTTCCGGCAACTGACAGTGGCGTGCTTTATGAAAGATGTGTCACAGCAGCTGTTCACATAAAACAGCAGAGAAATTAGTCTGCACATGTAAAGATTTTCACATTATTTTCTAAGCATCTTTATTGATCTGCTACACAGCTCTGATAAATATATGTAGCGCCGCACTGATTGCATGTATAGATTTATGAATGCTTCAGTAAGGCCACAAGATGAGCAACATATTTGCTTGTAAAACATGTATTATAGAGTCGCCAGAGGCCCTGGGACTGCATCATTTACTTTGTATGATTAGAGCGTCGTTTAAAAAGTGTTTACAGTTATTTTATTGATTAAGTTTAGAATTGTGGGCAGTCAGCAAGTTATCGATTCAGGGACACAATATTTCATTCTGAAAAAACATCAGAACCAAGGATATATACAATATGCTTTTTAAACAGAATAGTTACAACATATTAATATATATTTTTAGATCAAATAAGGACAATAAGGACAAAATTGTTGTCTGACTTTTTGTTTTATTCCAATGCAAAACAAGACGTATTCAGTTGAATTTATAAAGTGTCAGCAACACACAGGCAACTGTTGTGCAATGCTGGTTTGTTTTTTCTATGTGGTCTTAGTTTTATAACTTTAATAACTTTTCCCCATGGTAAAATAAGATTTTAGGAGTAGAAAACATCAGAAAAGATTACAATATTCTCCGTTACCTAATGACTTTAATTGAGAAGAGCGAATTTGGTGGAGTAGATTTACAGAATTGTTTGTATCTCCAGTGAGAATCTTTAAACAGGCAAGTGCATTCATAAGATATTAAGAAGAATAAACTCTCCCCCCCCCCCCTCAAATGAATCAGGTTTGGGATTAGGATGATTGTCGGCACACAGCCTGGTGCCCAGGTCACCGAGGGTCAGCTCTCCCTGATGTGTTAATAAGGATTAAAGCCTGCAGGATGGGCCTGGCTAGCAAAATACAACCCCCTCTAACCCCCCCTCCTCTTCAGCTCACATACACACACACACTGGCCCTGGCTGTAAAAGCACAAACATTGCCCCGGCTTAATCCCCTAATTAAGCGTGCCCCTCCTCACTATTTAACCCCAGAGAGCCTCCTGGCCCCTGCACTCAGCAGCGTTTGGCCACCTCCAGCAGAGGAACTGCATTGTTTACCAGTGGATTTACTCAGCAGATAAGGAAACCATCTGATGCCCTAAAAGGCGCCAGAAGATAAAGTAGAAAAGAATAATAGCTGAGTGGGTTTTGAAGAGGGGAGATCACACTCCCTAATCCCCGGATTGAGAGGTCTTCCAGAGTTCAGCATGTTATGTGTATGAATGCAGGGAGGAGGTCTGGCAAATTGGATTGTCTCTCCCTCTGAAAGACCTCAGTGCCAGAGGAACCTGGCCAACTTTGCAGGTTGAATAATCACAATGGAAAAACTAACATATCATTAAACCTGTCACCCAGCAAATTATAATGAAGAATGACAGTTTAAGGGATTTAATTACATCGAACTATTATGTTTTCATGTTGTTTTAAATGTATAATCACCACTTCCACACTGTTACATAATTGTCACTTAAAATGTTTGTTTGCGTTATGACGTGCCACAAAGAGAACTGCCATAACGAATCTGAAATGACAATAATAATGCTGTTTTATAGTATTTAACATCCATAATGGCTCATATTATCCACCATGCTGCTTTGTGAAGAGCATATGCTCACCGTGATGCCTTGTCTCTTACAGGGAATCCTTCTGAAGCGAAGTGGCAAATCCCTCAACAAGGAATGGAAAAAGAAATATGTCACACTGTGTGATAATGGCGTCCTTACTTACCACCCCAGTTTACACGTGAGTCTGAACCCCCCTCCTCTCTTCTTCACTTCCCATTTCTTTTTCCAATCGGCTTTATGTGTTTGTTACACTACTGTTTGTACTCGAGGGTGCCGCTGGAGGTTTTAATGTGGGACTGTTTTTCAACCGCTGCTGAGCATGATTCTCTTGATGGGATTACATTTACAACCCTTTCCGTAGTGAGCGGGATTACAAGCATATAGGCTCATGAGACTTGTGTAACAGCTAACCCAGTGACTCTAAGCGTAGTATTAAGAAACGGTGTGTCCTAGTGGTCATCTCTGTCCCCCACTGGGATGCCCTTCCCCGGTGCCGTCTAATGGAGACATGGTGTGTGTGCCCGCCGCGCCCAGACTCCACGCTGCCTTGTATTTATAATGGTTCTCACCACATGGCAGCAGAGCCTGACCAGCCTCCCACATCCATCTATGTCAGAATCCTGCTGGGCCGCTAATACCTCTTAAACACTCGGCTGGCTGGCAGCAGACAGATCAGATCCCGGGTGCCACACTCCAAAAACTCTCGTCTTTTTATTCTCCCAAAACACCTTCATTTCCTGCCATCCCTCCCTGATTCTTCCAGCCTTGTGTTTAAGATGTTAGGAGATCATTTGGCGAGGTAAGATGAGAGATGTCTGCAACCTCTTGTGTCTAATGAGACTGCTCAAACTTTGAACACAAGCCCAACAGTTAGACGCGAACCTTGTGTGTGGCCTTGTTGCACTGACAGTGTGTTAGCGGTTTAATTTACAAGCAGTTATTAGTAGAGTGGAGCAGTGCTACAGTGATGTATGTAATTGACTGAGCAGGCTATCTCTTGATCATTACCGCTATTACAGGTCATCAGGGCAATCTTTGAATCTATGAATCTGTTGACTTACAGAGGGAGGTGAGATAAGGAAGACAGTTACATTAGCGCCGTAACAGCTCGAGCTCATTTTGAGCAGTGGAGCAGAGACGGAGTAAGAAAGGGGAAGAGAGATTGAGGAAAGGAGAGAGGGAGAAGGAAAGAGGGAGGGAGGCAGACTGAGAGTGGAAGAGGGGAACCTTTAATTTCGCAGTCAGCCAAGCCATCCACACAATCACCTTCTGTTAATTCTATCTGCTACATCAATTAAATTGTTTGTTGAAACTAATTGAATGTGGCTTAATCACACATCTTAATAGCTTTGCACGCTTCGATCTGGCTGTTAATTCCAGCAATAAAATGAAATGAGAGCGCTCACTGGGTAATTAGCGAGGAGGCTTGGGAAAGAAATGAGTGCTTTATGACACGGTAATAAAGCAGAGGAGCCGGTGGGGGGACGGCAAAGGCCGAGCTCGCCTCTATTTGGGTCTTTTTCTGCTGAGCCCAATGATTTTCACCTTGGCTTCCCACATTTGGGTAGTAGTCGCTTTAAACCAAATCAGATGCCCAAATTGAAAGTGAATGAGACTGTTTGCATTCATTAAGCCTATCATCTCGCTATCTGGAGAGATGGCGTGGGCACAGGTGATGTATAATGGCTTTACAATCATTTTTCCACTCTCACACGTTTAGTGGAAGGTCTAAGATGGGTTGTGACTAATGGGGATGGAAATTGAATAGTCTTTTAATCTGTTTTTCTTCCATAATTCCAGATTCTAGTTGGTTTGCTGTGTATAATCAGTTACCTGTATTGAGGGAATTGTATGAAATATTTGGACTCCTACTTGACTAGATCACAGTCCATCCACAATAACTGTCATGTTCTTGTTTGCACTTTCTATAGGACTACATGCAGAATGTGCATGGGAAAGAGATCGACTTGCTGAGGACAACGGTAAAGGTTCCTGGGAAGCGACCGCCCAGAGCCGTGGCAACCGTCGCCCCGACAGCTAGTCCCAAAACCAACGGGCTGACCAAGGACCGCAGCACCCTGCAGCTGGGCATCGGAAACACAGGTACCACGTCCTGTCCTCATTATATGGCCAGAGTGATACAAGTTACTGTGCTTCGTTTGCATTTTTCATATTTAAGATATAGATTCAAGTACATTGATTGAGTGATTCATCTGCAATATGATCCCTCTTTTCTATACTGTTTTAAAGCAGGACTCTGCGATTCAAACCAATACATGTTTGTTTGATATGGCCAGAATACATATGTGAAATTGAGATTAGTTAAATATGTCTTGAAGGTGATTATGTGCTACCTTTTTAATCTTCTGTATTAAACGTTGAAACGTAATCATATGAAGTTTAGTATCATAAACAACACTTTGAAGGCGCATCCACTCAAAGACTTATCAAACACACTTTTTGTCAAATTCAGCGAATACCTCCTTTTGGTTTGCTAGCTGTCCGTTATGTAGTGAGCCGAAACATAATGTTGGGCACATACTGCTCTTAAGTGGGAAACAAACAACGTCAATCAAACCAAGCAACCCAAAACTAGGGTGGCCCTGAAGTGCAAGTCAAAACAACATTTCACAAAACACTACAGCATTTCACAAAACACTTCAACATTCACAAAACACTACAGCATTTCACAAAACACTACAGCATTTCACAAAACGCAACAGCATTTCAGAAAACACTTCAACATTTCACAAAACACTTCAACATTTCACAAAACACTACAGCATTTCACAAAACTCTACAGCATTTCACAAAACACTTCAACATTTCAACTTTTACGGAAAGGGTATTCCTTTAGGGAGAACACTTCTTGTTTGTGATTGGACAGAGCCAGCCAGAGAAGCACTGCTGTGATTGGTTGTTTTTGCTGCCAGTCAATAAATGACGCTTCCTGATTGGTCAGCACCCGACAGCGCCACATATTTCCTGTTTGGTACGATTCAGCTGCTTCTGCACGAATTTTAAACTGAATTTATAACAACGGATATAGATATGATGTTATCCTCGACATGCTGTCAACCCATCACCACATCAACATGTCCCAAAACATCAACTGTTAGCTGTTAGCACACAGAGCTCACAGCTCCTCATATCTGTTCAGAAACTGGACAAAATGTAAACATGTAAAAACCACAGACTGTCTATGTCATGGTGAATACAGTCGCTGCTTTATTTATGTCTGTATGACGTTGTTATGAGTTTGGACGGAGCAGCTACAGGTTAGTTTAGCCTGATCGATCCGATCTCCATTCAGAAAACACGCATTTTAAAAGGTTTTTCGCCTGCCGTCTTGTCTGCAGACAAAGCATTAATTCATGGTTTTTACTAACCGGTATCAGTATGTAGTTACTCCGGCATCATTTTGATTAAATCACGGTGAAATATGTTCATTTTGTTGTAGTTGGCTTCTACCACAGTATTTACATGGATATAAGCCCCGCCCCCTCTCCAGCGTTTCCTGTTTGAATGACAGGAGTAAACACAGCTGACAGCCGCGGTGAAACGGTGAAACTCGAGCGATTAGAGCGATGCGAATATTCGGGGCTTATCTCCATGTAAATACTATGGTAGATACCAACTACAACAAAATGAACATATCTTACCGTGGTTTAATTGTAATACACGTTTCAAAATGATGCCGAAGTAACAACATACTGATACCGGTTAGTAAAAACCATTAATTAATGCTTTGACAAGTGTGCAGACAAGACGGCAGGCGAACAACCTTTTAAAATGCGTGTTTACTGAATGGAGATCAGATCGATCAGGCTAAACTAACCTGTAGCTGCTCCGTCCAAACTCACAACAACGTCCTACAGACATAAGTAAAGCAGCGACTGTATTCGCCATGACATAGACAGTCTGTGGTTTTTACATGTTTAACTTTTGTCCAGTTTCTGAACAGATATGAGGAGCTGTGAGCTCTGTGTGCTAACAGCTAACAGCTGATGTTTTGGGACATGTTGATGTGGTGATGGGTTGACAGCATGTCGAGGATAACATCATATCTATATCCGTTGTTAAAATATTCCCTTAAGATTTCCATCTCTTCTTCCATTCTTTCCAACTCAGTTTAAAATGTGTGCAGAAACAGCTGAATCATACCAAACAGGAAATACGTGGCGCTGTCGGGTGCTGACCAATCAGGAAGCGTCATTTCTTGACTGACAGCAAAAACAACCAATCACAGCAGTGCTTCTCTGGCTGGCTCTGTCCAATCACAAACAAGAAGTGTTCTCCCTAAAGGAATACCCTTTCCGTAAAAGTTGAAATGCTGTAGCGTTTTGTGAAATGCTGTAGCGTTTTGTGAAATGTTGTAGCGTTTTGTGAAATGCTGTAGCGTTTTGTGAAATGTTGTTTTGACTTGCACTTCAGGGCAAAAAGTAGCAGTTCTATAAAGAGAAAGGCAGTGTTAGCAAAAAAAAATGTTGTCATGTATGAAGTAAATGATCAAAGATCTTCTCACTCTGATAGGAGGACCACGTTTTCCTAGAGTAGGTGCTTTATCAGGCTCATGAAAACATACAATGGAACAAAGGTTTACTTTTTAAAAGTATACTATCAAGAGATTAGATCACACATATGTGTCCAACAGGCTAATTAATATGTGTTATACATTTAATCAGAAACATTTAACAAAATGTGTCAGCCTGAATTAAAATATCATGGATGTATATCTTTTTTTATGGCCGTGTGCTTTCACAATTATAAACACAACTTTTTTCACCAAATGTTAAAACCCAGATAATTCACTTGTAGTTATAGTATGGAAAGACATAAGAGGAATCTTTCAAATGTATGTATACCACGCAAAAGACAAAGCAAATCATAGGTAGATTATGCAATGGTTACTCAATGAGTCTTTAATTTCTCTAGTAATTTCGAACGTCCTTTTGTTTGTGATTCATCATAAAAATTAGTCCCCACAGGTTAATTATCTACTTTATGTACGTTTCACTGCAAATTAGCTGCCTCGTAATATACACAATGATTTACTTAATGAGCATCTATGAGGAATCTATTAATTCTCTAAATTACTTAACAGGGAATTGAAGATTGTGTCTAGATATAATGTCCTCATGTTGTAAGCTTTGTTTATTTTGGACTGTCATGCCACCATGACACTGACCTAGTTACTTTTCATTCTCTTTGGTAGTTGGGGTCAAAGCAATTAAAACCGTTTGGACCTGAGAATGTTGTGCCAGTGTCTCCACTTTTTAAGTTTAAAAATAGATCCCAGCGAACGATGCCACCGGAGGCTGCACAGAGTCTGGCACACTTATAGAGGGGAAGCCAGTGATTGGATTTAGGGGTTAGGATTAAGAGTAATTAATACTAATTAGCAAAGAGATCCCTCGAGGGAGGCGGGGTCCTTCATCGGCTGTGAAACGGGGCGCAGTGTTTCCTTCACTCGGGCAAAAGCTAATAGGCTGTGAGTGGGTCCGGTGCCAAAGCAGGTCAGCGGGGACCATTAGCACTGTCCAGGCAGGTTACTGTTGAACCTGGTCAAAGAGCTGCCACTGCTGTACATGTTAATCAGTCAAAAGCAAGAAGATGTAGGAGTTTACAGAGCAGAGGACGTTGGATCTGTTCACCTTGAGGGGAGTCATTGTGGCAGACAAAAGGGCCTTAAAAAACAGGCTTTACCGGGTTTTCGGGAAACCATTTGGTCTGTTCTCTTTGTTGTTTGTTTCCTGTAAAAGACTCATCAATGACACATTCCCTGGATCTTCACTTGCCATCTATTTGTGCATCAGGGAACAATGTGTGTGAGATTTGCCTTAATCTCCATTTAGGAAAAGAAAGGTTACAAATCACATCAGGTCTCTCTCTGGGTGGAGGACCCTCTTCTGATTATGCGATCGGGATTTTGATTTCATTAGACGTGCAATTGATGAAGGGAACAAAGGGGTAATTTTTCATTCACGGCGTCCAAATCACAAGCCTTGTCTGTGCCTTTGGTAATTCATTCATTCCTTAGATCTAAAGACCTTTATAATCACTGGGAGAAGAGGGATAGCGACGGAGAGAAGGAGGGGCGGAGTGGATGGGGGAGATAGGAATATGAAGAGGAGAGGCTGAGAAGACAGAGAGTAAATGAGAGGACGCATGCGCCCGCCAGTTTGCCAAGCGGCCAGGTTTAATTCCTTTGCTGGGTGCTGAGCGGAACCATTTTAAATATGATCCTCCCTGTTAACACGCATCCTGCCGTGTCACCGGCGACAGATACATTGTACCAAAGTATTAATGGACCCAGTCACTTTGAATCAGTGCTGTGGGAGAGAGAGATGCGTGTGGAAGAGGTGGAGGTTTCTGGGAAGTGTTTTAGATCATTCCCGCTTCACCTTTTCCACAATTTATCTCCAGCTCTAATAGCCCAGTAGGACAGGTAACCACATATTCACTGACCAGCAATGCCGACACAATACTTATTTTTCCAACACCAGTATAATCAGCTCACGTGTTTCTCCAGCCATCATGTTCCAAATGTGTCAATTTTAAGCTGATTTAAACTGTTTTTGACCATACTAATTATATAAAAGTTGAGATGTGTAAGCTAAGTCATGTTTGAATTTGCACAGCAAAGCACAGAAGATGGATGTTTCCAGCACATTTAGTTGACCAATTTCATAATTTATATATTTTTCAAATTAGGGGGTTTCTCCTCACTCTTAAAGGACACTTTGTGTACATTTAACCTTGGTTGGTAACCTTGGAATAGATTATAACTTTGTACCAAGATCAGTTTTGTCTGCAATCTTCTCCTTATTTTAGATGTTTTTCTGATTGTTTAATCTCTGAGGAAAGGACCCCACCTCTCAATAACCTTAATCCATAGTTGCAGGAAAGCAAAACAGCAGTTGCCCTCTGGATATGAAACAAGTAAAGACAATAGGTTTTCAAAGGTTTAATGGATTGAAAATAACTGTGAAAATACTTATTCTGTTTCAATATTACATACATTGTTTATAATAATATTGTGTAAATATTTCAACACCTCTTAAATAGTTTCCTATTATTTCCTTTCTCACTTTGTCTCCCACCCACGTTCTGCACACACAAATGAGCCAGAAAAGAGACCAACCACTCAATAAACATAGTTAAAGATGAATGTCAGTGGAAATTCTCACACGGATTATATATATATGGCAATAATGTCGTTACCATTTTGGCCTTGTATAGTGAAAATCTGATATTCTGACAGCCCTAGTATACAGAGCAATACAACATACACAGAGTATAATGTCTGAGTGTTTTGCGTGGGGACAGACAGCAGCAGCAGCGGTATCTGGGGTTGGGGGGGGGGGGGGGGGGGGGGGGGGGGTCTGGGCGGTGGTCAGGATGATGGTGGTAGATTACACACAGCCAGCAGATGATGTGCTGCCCGGCCCACATTAGCATGAATGCTTCATTATCCCACTACTTGTACATAATGGCAACAACTCCACGGAGGGGTCAGGCCTCGTCACGGCTCATCAGCCCACTGACGGCAGGCCTGAAGAGAAATGAGAAGCCAGGCAGCGCTGCTACCCGCTAATCCATCGCCTCCACTTAACACCCCGCCCTGCAGAGCCTCAGAACACACTGTATGGCTTCTGTTATATCTTTATACACATTACAAAACAGTCAGTAAGACACTTTCATAATGGGGCTTCCTTTATTTTAAGTTTTCATTTATTCATAAGAATGTTGTGCTTTCTATGAAATGTTTCTGTAAAGCAACATCCTTAGTAATGGAAATGGCAATATAAATTCAGTTGTAAAAGAGACTATGCTCTTTGCTTGTGAGGTTTTGAATTACGATCGATCCAGTGTTGGACAAAGAGTTCAGATATTTTATTAAAATAAAACTAGAAGAAGAAGAGGAAATACCTCAATGTAAAGAAAATGTAATATTGTCATTAATGTTAACAAGCTATACAAATCAAAAGGACTTTATATGCAACAGCATGGCTTAATATCATCAGTGTTATAGTATTAAAGATTTTTTTTTAAATTATTATTACTGATGCAACTGTAAGAAACGAGGTGGAGATACTTTTCATTGCTTTATTCTGTTGAGTTGTTTGATCTCTAAAGACATTATATTTATAAAATAAACATTTTACATACAAAAATGATATTCCCTAAGTCTCTTATAATTAAAGCTGTCAAATAAATGTATAGGCAGAAAGTCTCAAAGTGTAGTTAAGTATTGAGAGCTGTTAATGGAAACAACCTAACTATAAATATAATATAGTTTAGCACAGCAATTCTGTAAATGTTATTCATTTCTGCCACCCTCATGCAGTTTCACTTTAATGTATTGATTGCTGTTGAATTCTGACTGCAAAAATAATGACGATGCATTCATCAATAGACACTAGACACAATTAACCTATGGCATTATTCGGCAAATATCAGAAAATGATCATCAATATTTCTGATTTGTAGGCGGCGGCCATTATGAAGCATCACTCTCATGTCAACAGTCTAACTTGTTCACTTTATTCTAAAAAAAACATTGAATACTTAGTAATGTATTCCTTTTTGACGGTGGATCCCGAACATGATCACTGAAGTTGGGAAAATGTAGCGTTCAATCTAAAATGAAACTGTCCGTTGTCAGTTCGTCCCTGTCAGTCCACACAGAGCTGTAGTGGAGGCCTGGCTGGAGCACTACACTGCTCTTTTAATGCCACAAGCTGATTATTTCTCCACTGTAATTACATTATCCTCCCCTTTATGCAGCAGTGGTCTCTGGGGACTAATGGATACAGCCATGTTTAATTCATTAATCATTAGCATCCAATTTGACAATTAGACGTGATTGTTGAATTTTTAAATATCAATGTAACTCGCCTTGTAGTTATCTAACTCGTTTTTTTGTTCTCTTAAAAGGCGGCAAAGAGTCAAACTTCACTCTTTGGAGAGAAAGACATGTGGGTCTTTTTTATAGTGGACAAATAAAAAATAATCTCTAAACGATGAGGTGATTAAACATTTATCTTTGCAATATGGGGTCAAAAATGTGGCTGCTTAATATTAGATATTCATTTATTTAAAACAGTGATAAAAGCAACCAAAAACCTTTTTCTAGAAGTCACAAGCTCATTTATATATCATTCATTAGTCACTTAAAAAAACAACAAAGTTTCCCATTTTCTTTTCAGTACCCTTACTCCTCGGCTTTGTCTCCCCTCCCTTCCTCCTCCTCTCCCCCTCTTCCTCCCTCCTCCTCCTCCTCCTCTGCTCTGATTTCAGCATGCTAATTTAGTCGGTGCTCCTCAGCGTGATTCCCTCGCTCTCTCTCCCATCCTCGCTGCGATTCTGCTCCCTCCCCTCTGGGACCCGAAGATTAATATTCCTGGGCCCAACAAGATAATTACTGATACTAATTAGACATGATTATGTGAATTTGATACACTTATTACTCTAGATAATGAGTAGGACATATTATCCTAACAAGCACCCGTGCCGCTTAGTTTACTTTACACGCGACCCACACTCTCTATTTTCTGTTATTGTCACCTCAATCAGAAACTGCTATTCTCTTGTAATTATTGAATAAAAGGCCTTGATGTGTGATACCTGTAACATGAGAGAGCATTGTTCAGAAAATCTGAGATATGACTTGTTTTCCAAACAAAGACTCTGAAAGTCTTTTTACCTCATTAAATTACATTGGTTTATAATGTAGTAATTATGTCAACTTTAAAGGTTAAAGTAGAGTGAATATTAACTTTTTATAGGACAGCATTTAATAATAACAAACTTTTCTATTAGGTTATACAGTATATGTTCTTACCAGTGTCACATTACCATAATTCCGTTGTGTTTAAATGTAATTTAGAAAATAAAATCACACAATTTTGGAAAAACGACATGACAGTTCTATTCAATTTGATGCTCTGTTAATCTAAAGCAGTTAATCTGACTCCCCGCACATGACTGGAAGTGTATCGATGAGTTTTTCAGAGTAGTTAGGAAGTGTTGTAGCGACTGCTCGTGAACAGGAGGGAAGGACCCCACATGGCGCAGCCTAGCCTATGAATTAGTAAAGAGATCCAGGCGTCCATGGCTCGCCTGATTGGAAGTTGGGGAGAGAACGCCTGCTGACGCCAGTGGAGATCGATGTGGCAGTCAGAGGGATGAGGCGAGATAATTAGCGTTCAGAGTGTATCTTGTTAATTAAGGGCTAATTAGAGGCAGAGGCGGAGGGAGAGGGGTTTCGTGTCTGTGTGAGGGGGGGGGTTCGACGGAGGGAGTTGCACCAATATGGTGGCAGCAGCATTACAGTACTGTAGAAACTTCGAAAAAACTCCTTTACAGACTTTTTGTTTTTGAAGAATCCTGCCAGACTGACTTTAGAATTCAAAGGGATGTATAAATAAAAATGTTCTTTTTTGTCACTTATTCCAGGTGCTCCTCACTCCAACAGTAGTTCGTCCCTGCAGACGGGCGCCTCGTTGTTTGGCAGCAGTAAAGACGGCATGCACCAACGCTCCTTCTCTGTGTCCAGCGCCGACCAGTGGAATGAAGCCATCAACACCAGTACAAGCAGCGGAGCCCGTAAGTCCTCCTTTCCCCTACATTTCTTCTCAAGTCTCCCCAGTAATTGTTGTAATTTACACATTCACATAGATGAGTGAAGTAAAAGCTGGTCTAGACGGAGACGCCGTTTCCCAGGCTTCATACACAGGTGTATCGAGCCTCATTTTCATAATGAGGTGATCAGGGCTGTGATCGCTGTGACCTTTCTGGCTGCCGCTCTTTGATAGAAGCGGCGTGTTCATAGGAGAGGAACAGTGAAGGTTAACTTCCCGCCATCGGTGCATCTCCTCTCTCTGCCTCTGTGTCACATTGCACTTCGTCACTGTACTTGAGTGAAGTAAGATAATATATTCACCATGCATGTCTACACTCACTCCCCCTTTCCTGTCTTTACCTTCCATCTTACTCGTACCCCCTCCTCCTTCCTCTGTTTTCCTCTCTTTTCTTCTGAAGAGGAAAATGAATGTTTTTTGGGGGGACCATTCATCACCAGTTATTTCCCTCTCTTTGTGGTTGGCAGTAAAAAAGCACTTAAATGCACATCAACAGAATAACAGTCATTTCCATGCATGTTTGCACTCTGGTAGTTCTCATTAGCACGGCGGCGGCTCCCCCCCTCCCCATGGGCTCCCAGGGGCCCCGGCAGTTTAAAGAGCGCACTTTACGAGCGCTGCTGGAGTCCAACTGCACGGCCCTCGTGGTTCGGCAGACAAGCCTGTCTCTCATTTGGAGCTGCCAAACGATCAATTCTGCCCGGACGCAGGCACTTCCATCACCCCCTACCCCCGTCTCCCATCAGCAGCATGCCCAAAGCAGAATTACTTAGATTCGTGGGGTCCTCAAATAAATGAGCGCAAGTGTGTGTTGTGTATGTGTGTGTTCTCGCTGATTTTTTATGTGTGTGTAGCTGTTGGTATGGGATTTCTTTTCCACAGTGCGTGTTTGCGTCTGTATTACAATTTGTATATAGGAGAAAAAGCTTCATTCTTGTTTGTGGCAGGTCTGCGGAGGATGAATAGGAGTTCCTAAACATTGTGTTGTGAAAAGAAAGAGGCCTAGGATTTCCCATTTATGTTTGGTAAACTGAAAAAACCCTCAATATTAACATAGCTCATTAACCAGCATCCAGTCTTCAGCTAAATCAGATCCACACTTTGCTCCTTTTTTCTCTTTTCTCCAATTATTTGTCATGCTACTCTACTACTAAGATGTACACTAAAAGCAACATCTTAGTAGCTCAAAAACTTTCCCTGAATTTCTTGTTTTTATGTCTTCTTACAGTTTAACAGTCTGAATACCAGCAGCAGATTAAGTCTGTAGTGTGACTGGACTATCAGAAAACATAAAGTTGATTGAAACACAACCCTCTTATCTTTCATCCTAATGTGCCTTCAATAATCAATAGAGGGTGTTCCACGGTGAAGGGTGCTCATGTTTTGCCATCTGAATTGACTTGAACCTAGCCCAATCACTCCATTATCCTTGGTGAAGGTTGCAGGTTAACATAAAATGTGATTCTGAGATGCAAAAACAGCAGATTGATGATTCACTGGAGGATGAATGCGTCTTAGCCAGGTAACCATTTCCATATTATTTAAAGAATGTCCTCATTTGTAAACCTATTGAGCAAAGGCAGAAGCCGAGGTAGTAACGTCTCTTGAATATTGAGCGCAGATTTTTGATTAAATCCCGGCCCAATTTTTCTATTGCTTGCATTCATAAAGACACCCATTCTTAATGCAGTGGATGCTTGTTTAGATCCTGCTCTCCTTCATACACCTCAATCTCAGAGCCTGAATTAAATGCAAGAGGCTCAAAGAGTGGTGATGGGCTCGCTGATGACAATGACTTAAGTCATGGTCAAAGTGTGAGTGATGTGACGTTCCCAAAGGCAAAGATTACTGTGGATCAGAGCTACCAATGAGTGATGGTTCAATAATTAATTCAATATTAATGTATCGTAGAATATATTGGTGCACAGTTCTTAAGGTCAAAAAATATAAAACAAATGAAAGGCTGAAATCTGTCCACACTGAAGAATTTAGTCATTTCTTAAATTATAAAATGTTGTTCTTAGTGGGTTGACCTGATTAGTCAATTAATAGTTACGTTCATCAACATAAAAGGAATATGCGACAATTTGGATGATTGATAGTCATAATTAATAGAAAATAACATATTTGGAACATGTCCTTTTTAGCTCTGGAGAACTTTAATGGACATTTTTTTTTATATTTTCCCACATTTTATTGGAAAATATTCCGGAGATTACACAATGAAAGTATTTATTTGTTGTGGCATTAATGAGAGAAGCAATATCAATACTTTTTAACCCATGCGTTTAGTTACATACTAAATAATAAATGTTGATAATTCTGCAACGGTTATTACAATATTCTTTGTATCCGTATTGCCCACCCTCCTCTATGAAAAGCCTTTACTTCTGTCCTCCGAGACCTTAACGCTTCCACTCTGCTTTGTGTTCATTTCTATGTAAGTTTGCATATGAGGACACAGGTAGTTAATGCACAGATAGCCTTCTCCTGTGGCACTGTGTTTTACACCTTGGCCTCCCGATGCGAGGGTGATAGCATGCGGGGCGTTTGATTTCTACGCTAGGCCGTAATGAAGTTTGACATTTAGTTTGGAGAGAGCAGCAGAGCGCGATCAGGCCTTGATTAGTACGCTCTAATTGAGGATAATAAGGGGGAGGCGGTGATTGTTTCTAATTTTTGCCATTAATTGCAGCCGTTGGCTTTGATTGAGGACAGGCAGGGCTGCCATGTCAAGGGGCCTGGTGGAATCATACTGCTCCTCACCCGGAGCCTCTTGAATAACAATGAAACAACTCTTCCCCCCTCCCTTCCTCTTCACCCCCTCTCCCTGCCTCTCTCTCACCCTTTTTTTTCATTCTCAGTGCAATGGTAAAAGCAGGAGCTGTTAGCGGCCCTCTTTGTCTCACCCTCAGCCGTCATGGTGTAGCATGTATAACCCCGGTGGTGGGAGTGGAGTGCACTGTAATCACAGGTTAGCCTCATACCTTTCCTGCTGCCCAGGTGATCCTGGCTGAGTGGGAAAGAGACTCCTGATCCCCGGAGTGCTTCATTACCCAGCTCCGTCCTGATGGCCCTCATACACACTAACAGCCGGCTAATAACGCCAAAGTGAATTTTATGCTTGTAGAATCAGTCCACTTGTAACTTCATAACTCTCCATTTAAAAGATATAATCAGTCGTGCACAGTTTAGAGCTGAAAGCCATTAAAAGACAGGTGACTTTAGATTATATAAAAGGTCTCGGGTGCTTTGATATTGTTGCTCGGTGATGTGAACTCCATTCCCTGCTCCTATACCTTCATGGTACAGACCTCCTAACGCCTGATTGGTGCAGACAAAGGGAAGTGTATCACCCCGTATATGTTTCAGGTGCAGGATGAGCGGGGCCAGGGTCATTTTCCACAACATTAGGGGCAGAAATTGATAATTAGAGGTGTTTATGACACAGTTGGGGCCCCTGAGGGGCAGCCCTCCCCTTTAACCTCAAGCGACATTAAACAAATGCTGGCTGTCACGTCGGAGGCAGGTTGCAGCTCAAGTCTTCCACCCGCCATACGGAGCTGTGCTGGCGGGACAGACGCTGCAATGGAGAGGGAGGAGGAAGCAGAGGGTGGGGGGGGGGGGGGGTGCACATGGAGGACCCCTGTGCCCCCAGCTGTCTGAGCCAGCTAATGACTCGTCTCAGGGGGGCTGTTGTAAGAGAGCAGGGAAATTGAAACAGACGCCTCGACTAGAAGCTGCTACATGTGTGGCTGCGTGCTGCCATTCAAAACACCAGAGAGCCTAATGCATGTCGTCCAGCACAAGCACCAATGTTATGTTTATTAATGTGATGGTGTCGAATCAATAAGGCTATTTCCCCACTAGCACCTACGTTTTTATAACCAAATGAATACTACTTTTAAATATGGCCACTTCTCTTCTTAAACTGTTGTTATAACTAAATTATGATTTCCAGTACTAATTCTTGTTTGTATACGTACAGTTTAAGATGAATCTCTTGGTTATTTACCGACCCAACAATGTGTGTCTCAGGTGTTGCCTCCTATTTTTGCCCACGCTCAAACAATGCGTCCCTGGGCCGAGAGCTCCCCTCTCCCCCAACGTTTGCATCTTCAATCCCCCGCTGAGCCCATCTTACTCTCTACTCTCCTCTAAGACAGCCCCATCTCCCTAAAGGTAATGACCGAATTAGGCCTAATGTTGTACACTGGCTAATGGCACCGTGCTGCACATTATAGCATGTGCAACTGGCAAACGACAACAGCAATAATCCCTGAGCCCCTTGTCCTCCTGCACTCCACCCCTGGGGCTGGGACGGTGCACCGGGAAATGAATGGAGTTTGCTACACTACAATGAGCTTTTGATGGGAGACAATGGAGGAGGCTGCCAGCACCACACAGGGTGGTAAGGGGAGAGCAATATGGGGCCCATCTACCGGCCCTCCCTCCCTGCTTCCCCCAGGCCCCTGGCCCCCCCACTCCTAGATTCATAATGGCATCCGGAGGGGGAAAGAAGGGAAAGTGATGTCAAATGTCAGGAAATCAGAAAGATGGCAAGCTGACAACCCCCTCCTACCGTCCCATCCCTCCTCTCCCTTTGCCCAACGGTAGCACAGGTTAATATCACATTTATAAAATCACTTACAAGAAACAAAGCCGGCTCTTTGCCCCCTGTCACTCTCAGACAGTCATATAGAGAGCTTTGCCGCCGGCTGACTTAGGTAACCATTTGTTCACTGATGGCCCCTCACCTGTCCTTCGCTCTATCTAATGCCCGAGCCATGCCGTTACTTTAGGAGCCGTTTCCAACTCACACTGCTGAGGACACATTTTTAGGATGTGAAGGCTCTAGTTTGCATGCAGCTCGTCATGTCATTCAGTATTCATTGCTGTCATTTCACAATGAATCATGCATTCACACAAGATGATACATTTTTTGAGTTTAACCGTTTAAATTGAACAGCCAACCTAGTTTATTTTTTAAATAATGGTGTTAAATTGTTTTTACTCTGCCCATGTCACACAAAGAGTCATTTTGTTGGATTTCACATGTATATATTGCTTTCGACATATAAGACTTGCAACTTCAGCAAGAGCAATGAATGCAATCCACTAGCAATTAATAGTGGACTAATCACCACTCCTCATTAGGCACAAAAAATCTTCACCCCAGCCAACATGAAGCACGCTGCCAGAGCCATTTCTAGTTGATATTTCATCAACGACTTTATGATTAAATTGGACACTAATGGATGCTCTTCATCCATCTTCTGCAGTTCATTATCTATATATTATGGTTCCTCATAGCAATACATATTGATATTATTTTCTTAATTTACGTGTTTCCCTTAGTTTTGAAGTTAGACATAACCTTCTGTCAGCTGTTTTTGTCAAGTAGCATACATATTCTTGATCGGCTTGTTTCAGAAACTCGTGAAGTTTAAACGACGATTCCAATGTGTGGTTGTTGTGACGGTGCTTTAAATCAGATCAAAGTTTTTGAGCGTGATCTTTTGCATTTTACCCTGCTAAATCAGGCTTAAAATGTAAACAAATTCCCTGTTTATTCAACACAAATGGTAATAGTTGTTCCCCCTGTCTGTGTTTTTACAGCCAATGGAGTGAGTGATCCTGCGAGCTCCAGTGTGGGCAGCGCCACCAGTCCAAAGCTTGAGCCGCCTCCTTCTCCACACGCCAACCGCAAGAAGCACAGACGGAAAAAGAGCACGGGCATCACAAAGCCCGACGGCTTATCTGCAGGCAACGAAGGTACGAAAATAAACATTTTTAAATGACTATGATTAGAGATTGAAAATCATCTATAGGAATCAAAGGAACCTAACCCCCAAAACGTTTACCTACCAATAGTGGTATTTCCATTCAAATGTTTCAATGCACATAAATAGCTACTGAAGAGACAACAAATATAACAATGCTATATTTCTATCACATTTTCTACATTGTTTTCGCCTATTTTAAGGTTTGACCACTGCTCTTCAAATCATTCGTTGCGACCTCTGCATAGTTTAATGGCGATGGATATATACGTGACAAATACTTTTTATCTGAAAGAACAAACTCATGGGTTGCATAATGGAAAAATGCATTGTAATCCTCTAGTGTTGCTGATTTTGACTTATTTTGCAAACGCAACACAACCTTTTATTTTTTCTCTGTGCAAAATTGGTTGTGCTTGTCAACAAACACAATGGGCTTTATTTTGACGTTTGGAAGCCAGTGAGTGGTCACATCTTCAAAGGTGCACAAGGTGGGAGGGATTTGGGGGAAAGCTGAACGTTGTGCCCCCATAGTGAAGCTCTTTATGAGGAAATGAAGGTAATGTCAAACATTGCAGTACAAATGCAATGTATCTTTTATTTTCTGTGCAGTAACTCATTGGTTATTAACTCAAATATCCACTTTGAATTCAACTTCTCACACCAATCACATTTCTCATCTTGCATTTTGAGAAAACATGTAATGTAATCTTCCATATTCTCACTGAATTCTCCTATGAAGTCCATGAAGGTGTGTCGTTTTGTATCTCTTTGTGGCCCTCCTTCACATTTCACCCTCACAGCCCTCATTTCTTTTACCGTCGCCTGAAAGGCCCCGATCTCCAGAAGCCGTGGCCCCTCTCAGCGGGGGAGTGGCAGTCGGCTCTCCACCCAATTAATAATGATTCTCCAGCCCAATGATAAATGGAGTACCCTAATTGGATGGCATTGTGAAAACACTGGGATGCATTTCAGAGGCCATAAAACTGATGTCACCGGAGCGGGATGATCAATCAACAAGATTGATACGCTGGATAACAACAACAATGGCATTGACGCCTCCTAAATGGGGCTTAGCATTTATAATCATTACACTTTTTTATCATGGTCTCTGACAGCTTCTCTTTAAAGTCTGAATGAGTCTGTTGACCACATTGTTGTTTGGAGTGAACATCATCAGCATCTCGGAGATAAGTGGTGCGAGATAAGTGGTGCTTTTTCTGTTGTTAGAGAAGTGGTCACATCATAATACTAGTGAATTTAATCCCAGATCTGATTGTTTTTGTACAATTGGCATGGTCACTTTTTCTATTAACGTTCAGTAGCAGTAAGCAGCTACTAGCATAGTTAACAACTCTAGAGTCCATTACTTCTGTTCTGTTTTATAACTGAGCTATAATGTTGCTCTCCTGACAGTTACACCGTTGTGTTAAAGCTTTGAATGAGTGATGGTTTGCATTATATTAAACATCATCACGTCCCATCGATAAGTGCCCTACAGAGGAATAATTAAGTCAGATAACTTCCTGAGTGGAACATCTAAGAGTAATCAGACTGGAGGAGGCATATTCTGAATGTTTCTCACGTCATCAAACACGCACATTGTTTTCTGTCCCTCTCATGGTTCTCTGCCTGGTTTTCTATTAGCATCACCTTGTCTGTTCTGCTGAATGCTCTGGAATACAGACGTATCGCTTAAATATTGGATTCACCCAAGTCTGGGGATGTGAGTTGTGTCTCCTGTTGAAAGAGCAGAAGAGAGAGAAGAAGAAGAAAAAGGAAAGGAGAGGAGAGGTGGGATCCTTGAATAAATTGCTATCAGTTTATCTCATTTACGGGGCAATCAGAAGCGTGCAATACAGGCTGAAATTGAATTTTAGTAGTTGTGAAGCATCATAAATCAAAACAGCGTGCGCGTCTTTAGGTGAGAAATCATTTTAGTCAACAAGGGATGTGTAGGATGTAGGAGGAAGCCTGCAGAAACCGTTGCTGCAACATCATTTCTTAAATGTGGCACTACAGTACTTAGCGAGACTCTTCTACATGGCTGCTGAAGTGGGAGAGAATCATGTTTATAACCAGTATATTACTATGATTATGAAAGGACAAATGACATATCTGACTGTATGAAATATCGATTCTGCAAACATTTGAATATACCTTATTGTCAATCTATTTGTAATTCTAATCATTTTAAAGCCTTATTTGGATAATGTATACGTTCCCTGTTATGTCTGCAGAGCTACACTTCCACCAAAGATATGCACAATGCACACAGTCCCTAATATCCTATGCACTGTCAGAGCTGTGTGGTGTAATGAACTTCTCATGTGCTTAAAGAATGATGCAGGATGCATGGCGAGACAACTGACAGCCCCGTAATGTGTTTCCCAGCAGCCGCCCAGCGACGAGCTTTCTCCGTGTGTCGCTCGCCATAAACCCACTGGAAAATCGATGGCCGATAAAGAGTTGTGTTCAGGGGGAGCCCCCTCTGATTAATGCAGACTGTCAGGGAGCATCATTAATGTATTTCTCTTTTAAAGAAAGTGTATCAAATGCTCATTGTTTTGGAGGTTTGAGCTTGTACAGTGTGAGCAGAAAAGGAGGTGCATGAATTGAGGAGAATTGTGACAAGAGGCTCCTTCTGGATTCTTTCAGTTGTAAGGATGAAGATATTTACTCGTGTTAAGGTCACAGAAATCAGGGATAAGTGTTTGCCTGAGATATAAAGAAGGTGTTAAAGTCGTATTTATATTAACAACATAAGATTTGATTTAAGGCAACTTTCAACACAGACACATTTTCCTTTTTGTTTTTGCACATTTTGATCCTACAGTCCAACTAAAGGAAGCTTATCTTGATATGCACGTCAGACTCTCATGTGCTTTAACAAACTAAAATGTGCTGCGGAGAATTTTTTAAACCAGATCTTAATTTGGTTAATAAAACCTCTTATTCAATAGAAGACTCAACAATGGATTTTAATCAAATACTTTTATTTTGTCATTTAAATTGATTGAATTTCAAGTGATTGGAAGGACTCTTCTACTGGATTGAGTTGGCAATTGGAGCGGGATAGGGAATTCATTTTTATTTGTTGAGAAAGTGGATTCCTAAAAGGCGCGTGCTAATGTTAGCTTTGTGTCACATATTACCTGGGGAATGTGCAATCTCCCTTTTTATAACATAACTGAAAAGAAAAATTGGAAATGTTATGTCAATAGGAACAAACTGTTGTCATTAATGCATGTGTTGAAAGTGTCACTGTTGGAATGTGACCACATAACTTCAATGATATTTAGTTAAAATACATATCCTTGTTATATTTGCATACTTTAACACGTACATATAAGCGGCTTCAACTTTTATTTTTAAATAAGTGTTCTTAAGCTCAAATAGACCAAATAAATTACTGCATTCCTTCTGATCATGTAGCAAAGTAGAGCTTTATGCTTTAATAGAAAACCAGCTTGTTCCAGCTCAGTTTTTGTCCAGGTAACAGAAATGGACACTGTTGGAAAATATAATGTACGATTGGAAAGCCTGCAGAGAATCGTACTCAAAATAAAGTGGCTCTACTGAGATAAATGGCACAGTTAGCAGTAACTGGATAATGGAGAATCAGAATGAATTAGCTGCAACAATCACAACTGACCCGGTTATATTCTTAAAAGTAATTAGAACATTTCTCAAACAAATCTAAACCATTTTGTAGTGATGTTGAGTTTTGAGATCCATAGCATTCAAAATCTTCTCTATCAACACAGAATACCTAAAGTACGAGAGATCCTTTGATGCTAGTGCAACCTAATCTTTAGTTTTTCATTATTAACTTTGTATTCATCTGTTGTTACTCTTGGGTTTCTCTCATGACTATTGGCTTAGGTTTAGATTAGAATAAAGGTCTCATTGCTCTTGACTCATATACAGATTGACTGGAACAAGCATTCATCAACTTCCTGTGCCCAAACTATAAGTGAACCTGCATTGACAGTCAATCAGAAGCGGTTTTAAGTCATATATTGTCAGTCCAACCCAATCCAGTATCCTATTGTCCTGTACCTTTTGCAAAGTAAGGGTTAATATCCTCTGGAGTCCAGCTGAGGATTAGGAAATGGAGGTTTAACTGCCTGTGCTAATGGTGGGTGTTTATCTCAATACTTTGTTTTGTCACTCCCCGACTCGCTCTCATTTCCGAAAGCTGTCCCTGGAGCCTCCACTCTTGTAATGGCTTAGCTTTCTGAGCGCCACAGTATGGAGGGAAAGGAATAACAAGATTCTCATTTGGGCTCCGTACACACTGCCCACAGACACATGTATAATTGGCCCGGTTTCCATTCGGCTCTGTTGTTAAATGCACTAGCTATTAGCGTAGTGGTATTGGTGCTGATTTCATGGGTTTGTTTATTGTTGGAAGGTGTGCTCCTTGTTTGTTTGAGACTATGTGTGTGTGTGTGTGTGTGTGTGTGTGTGTGTGTGTGTGTGTGTGTGTGTGTACACGAGTGTGTGTGTGTCAGATAGATAAAGAGTGTGCTCTATCTCTCTCCCTCCCTCCCTGCTCTCTTCTTTCTGAGTTTGGTCGTGGTTCCCCTGGGGCCCCTGTCGCAGTAATGGCCTGCTCCTGATTGCTCTGATACAGGTTAGGAATATTGGCTTTAATGATGTGTAAAATGAGCAAGCAGTGCCTGTGACATTTACAGATGGCACCGCCTTGGCCTGTTCTTCCCAACTGCTCGTTAATTCACGGGAACGGCAAGCACTTCTTTAAGTGACTGCCTGATGCATGCACACGGCACAACACATCCTGCACACCCAAACAATAGCTCAGCCCGCGTACCTCTGCACCTTGTCATCGTTTCAGCCAAGTGTTCACACAAACCGATAGTCCTCAAGGCTAAGGAGTGTTTGCTAAGTCCTCTCTAAGGGTTCATAACGCGGGTCTCCAGAGGTCTCTGAGAGGCTTAGACAGAATAGATGCTACGTTGGCGCATGGAGTATAGTCGGCACAGCTGGGCTGGCCACCAAAACCCCCCGAGGTGCTAATCTGCTGCAGCACGAGAGGAATCACCGTCCGCCGGACACCCACTCTTCTTTCAGGTTCCACTTAGATTTTTAGGTCAAACGGACGCCTTTTTAGAGGTATTAAAGTTTGATGGACAACTTGCGTTTAATAACAGCCAGTTAGTGGTGTAAAACGTTTGCACATCCTTTACCAGATTAACTAAACAATATTGTTAAAATACTCTTTTCATCTTTCCAAAATCCTATTGCACTTTGGAAAGATGAAAAAAATAATTTGATAACTTGTGCGGTATTTGACCTCTTTAGTTTTTTCAAAATCTTTTTATTAGTTTTTTTGCAGACATGGCACATTAAACAGAGTACAGAACAATGTGTCTGTTAATTTAGATTTGACTTTAAATTGAAATTAAATGTTAAATCACTCTGGTTAAACTGTAAATAACTTAAAATTGTAAATAACATCTGTACGCGATGAACTCCAATCATCATCTTTTAGTCAGGGTTCACTTGTGAAAATTAAAGGCTCATTAGATGTTTAAAATAAAAGTAATCTAAAAAGTAACTAGTAGTTAAAGCTGTCAGATAAATATAAAAAGTAATAAAGTATTTATCTACAGTTCTTGAGGAAACATGCTCAGTTACTTTCCACCACTGCCACCAGTAAATATAAGCAATGCATTAACCTCCTATTTTAGTATCTCGAAGCAATCGTTTATTATTGACGAAACATTCTGCTTATTGAAGTGCTGTTGTGTTGCTGCTGAAATCCATTAAGTAATCTGATGGATAACATCTGTAACTGGGAGGATCCCGAACAGTTTTATGATCCATGTAAAGCGTTGACGAGGAAGTGTGTCTGTTCCTTCCTCGTCGCAGCTCTGTGGCCATTAAGCTCTAATTTCCTTTTTATTACGCCATGTTAATTAAAGAAAATCATATTTCGCTCATTCTTCACAGTTGGCTCCTCCGTTGGCTTTAAATTGTGTTCCTCCTTGTCCGCCCACTGGCAGAGCTGTGTTAATTTATTTCTAATTGGTAAGAACTTGTTGATCATATGCTCGCGGATAGATTTGGTCAGGAGGTTAATGCTCGCGGTAATGTGACAAGGTGATCGTTCCTCTGCTAGCCATGTGCTAACTGCACCCATTGAGTAATAACAGAAGCGCTAATGGCCCTTTTAAAAGCTCATCACGTCAGGTGCCTGTAAGATAGCGCCGATGCCTTTGACACATTGTTCCTGCTCAGATTTAGCGTCTCTGTGAAGACCACTTTGACCTCAGCACCGTGCTTACATGGAGCAGAATTACTTTGCCTCGTAGAGCTGAATTGCCACACTGTGGACGGCATTAAAAAGTAATATCCGTGTGCTGGATCTGCATGTAATGACAACACGGGAGTCCCACATAAAGCCTCCTGCTGCACATGTTCCTCTGTCTCTTTAGTGGCTACACTATGTCTCGCCTGTGCATTACTATGCATGGAGAATTAGATTTGTTTTCCCTTGTATACTCATCAGTTTAAGAAACCAGCCATCCGTTGCTTTTTTAATCTCCATAATGAAAGTGTTTTAATGCCTCCAATTTATTGCCTGGGCAGCCAACAGAATAATTAGCTTTGTTCGGGGTTTCTTAAAAAGACGAAAACGCAAGTAGAACAACATTTGAGTCTGGGAGCCACTGATTTCAAATGCATTAGTTATTGTACCTCAAGTTATATCGGACAAGGGAAGCATTGATTTTGACTGTATGTTTTTTCAATTAATCATGCTTTTTTTTTTTCCAAATTACATTTTCTCTCCATTTTGTATTCCTTGTCACTTTCTTAAGTAAACCGTTTTGATTCTGTGAAACCACATTTTCTTCCATTTGAATCCCCACCAGTGCTTTAAAGTGTAACACCCACATAGTTTCTCGCTGTTAGTCTAAATAAAGAGGCTTCCAAGGCTTTATTGATTCCTCCTGACCTGTAGTCGATTCCACAAACTGAATCAGATAATTGAAGTCGGTGTCGAGCTAATTGGATTATTGCTTTCCCCCTGAAGAGATGGCCCTCCACCGAGGCTCAGGGATCGCTACATCACACCGTCCGTCAGAAATCTGTCATTTACGGATTCACAGGGCTGCGACTCGCACCAAGGAGGCTCAATTGATTATAAATGTGCACTAATTTCTCTGATTAGATGATTTGTCTGACAAATGATTGCCATAATTTGATAACTACACACATGCAGTTAATTGAATATACAAAAACGGATACATTAATACACAATACATTAGAAGTATACATATTTTGTACATTAAATAAATGTCCTTTTAATGTAACTTCTATTAATGATAAAACTACTGAAGAAAAAAACCTTCCCCTTGTGTCTACTCGCCTCCAGTCCTCCAAACATGGTTTATGCAAATGAGATGACTATTTGCATAGACATAATTAGGTAATTACAAATCATTTGGCTATGAGCTCAAGCATGTGCACAGACCAGAGATGTTACACGAGTCACTTTGTACAGTACCGAGTTAATGAATTGCTTCTGAACAGCAGAGCCATTACAGCATGTGTTGGAACATATGTTGTGTCAGACCTCTCGTTTGAAAACGACAGGTGACATTATTATAAATCTTAGTTAAACACAAAAGAGCAGCGGAGAAAACCAGCTGAATCAAAACCAATTTAAGGGCCAAATGAGTTTTCATAATATATTAAAATAAGAAAAAATACTATAGTTAGTACTTGACTAAACATAACTGGCCTTAATGTATTCCCTTTTCAGACACTATTATAACTGCTTAGCAATATAAACCAATGCTACCCATATTTAATATATCATGCCCTGAAAAGAGCTTACATTATAGAAGTCAAGGTCACTGTCAATATTGGTAACTGGGATGTATAACTGGTTTAAAAAATGACGATATTTGTTTTCATAAACACAATAGTCTCTTAGAATCTGCCATTGACTAAACCATGGAAATGCAGGGAATCTCAACCTGGTTCTTTAATCAAAAAGTAAAAAGAAGCAGCCTGTGAACATATACAAACTTTGAAGTAGAAGTTTAAATTCACTCCCAAGGTGTATTTCTACAACATCCAATCACAATGACACATTCTGTCACATGCCTCAATAACAGCGGGCAAAATCTAAAGCATATTGATAAAGAACAATATACCATCTGTATCTTCAATTCATTGACTTGCAGATACTGAGTTATTGCAACTATTGTGCACACATTTAGTGATGAAGATTTGTGAATGTTCTACAACCCTGATAGCCTTCTTCTACATGGCAACAGCAATGGAGTGTCTTGTGGTTTGAACATGCCAAAATGTAATCATTTCTCCCAAAAGAAGTTGAAATGATTGACTTAATTCTGTCTTTTTTCTCAATATGCTTTTCCTTTTTTCCCTCTGTCAAGTCTGTACATATTTGGGGTATTTAGAATTGTACAACTTTGGGATAACTGCTAAATAAAAGTGTAAATCATAGAAAAATCACAAAAATCTGATTTCTAATAAAAGACTATATTGTGTGTTGCTGCTAATGAGTAATGTTATGACAGATTAAAAATGCATCTAGCATTTATGAGACTGAGATTTCGAGGCATTGTTGAAAACAGCAGTGCACTAGGTGCTGCGAGTGTTTCTGAGTTTAACAGAAACCTATGTCAGCGTGCGTTGATGCGCGAATGGGCCTGGGTCACTGAGCTGTGTCGCTAACTCGCAGGGTCAGATTGCAACCACTGATATGCTTGTTTCTTAAGTCCTAATGTATTGTTTATTTGTGTTTTGGCAGAACAAGAGGATTCCTTTGAGTTCATCATCGTGTCGTTGACGGGTCAGACGTGGAACTTCGAAGCCTCTACGTACGAGGAGAGGGAGCTGTGGGTCCTAGCCATCGAGAGCCAGATCTTCGCCAGCCTGCAGTCCTGCGAGAGCATAAAGAACAAGGTACAGCACGGAGGATAATAACTATGAGGAGGATGGGAGGCAAATCATCTAATCACAGCGTCGTCGTCATCATCCTACAATTCTGCTGCTTCATTTACATTCCTCTTTTTTCCCCCCTTCTTTCCAACCTTTATTGCGCCCTCACCCTCACCCCCCCCGCCCCTCCTCACCCACTTCAAGCTGTCACATGTGGGAGGTTGTCAGACAGGTGCACCGCAGTGTGGGGGATCTCTTATTAGAACTGACAGACATCAGAGAGAGAACACGGCTTGTGTCAGCAGACTGAGCAGACACGGCCTTGTTTTACATATTCATATTTTCTCTGCCTCAGTTTTTTCTTTTGGAAAACCTCATCCCTCCCTCCCTCCTCCTCACTGGTTGTCTATTATTTGAATCCAGCTATAATTGTTTGCGTTCTTTTACTCTATCAATGATTAGTTCCTGCTGACTTATTCTCTCCCTCATTCCCTGCAGTCTCGGTTAGGCAGCCAAAGTGATGCAATGGCCATTCAGTCCATACGGAACGTGAGGGGGAACAGCTTCTGTGTGGACTGTGATGCACCCAGTGAGTATATTTATCCACTACAACAGCCCATTTCTCCTCGATAAGGCCTTGTAGAGTGGGAAATAAATGGTTTCTATACCTCCATATTTGACCAAAGATGGAAAGATAGTAAAACATCAATTGTTTTGGGTGGTTTTATAAAGTTATTGCAAGTTATTGGTGGTAAAACATTTGACTCAATTGTTGTATTCTACTCACTCTTTGACTTACAAATACACAAAGACATTAGTTGCAACATCAAAAAAATTGATTAGGTTTCAATTTAGATGTAAGCTATTTTCACTTACTGCCATTTGTTACTTGCTACTACAGACAGAAAATCTAAATGTGGGCAATTAACCAGAACTAAGCTGAGAGGAACAAACATGTTTCAATAATGAGAAACATTTCCATCAAACATAACCCTATTTTATTCCCTGCTATTTTTCCAATAATGTTTTAATAATCTCCACCAACATAGCTCCCTAAAGAAGTGACATTGTGACCCTAACTCAATTCTCTATTTCTTATGATGTCAACAATTATTCTAAAAGTCAAATTCTGCTATAGTAGGTTACATTTCCATTTGTGTTATTCAAGAGCCTGTTCCTACCTCTTTTAAATAGTTGATAATGTTTTAATGCAACCGCCTGTAGCTTATAGAATTTATATTACTTAACTGTTATTTATTTACATTTCGTCAGAATTTTACCCTAAGCTAAATGTGTCAGAGCTGAATCTAGCGACCTTTACAGGATCAGCTCCTTAATGCATTTCCTGTTTTCTTCAAGACTCAGCCAAGAGGAATACAGTTTATTCTCTTCCTGCTATAAATAAACATCTAATAACATAATCGTGAATAATAATATAAGACATTGAAAACTCATGTTATCAGTGCAGATGATAATGCTACAAAAATAATTCAGTTTAAAGCTAAAATTAGTATAATGTAAGATGCAAAGTAATCCTTACGAAATCTCTTCTTGAATCAAGTTTATACAGATGTAAAAATCTCCTTTTTAAATATAAGATAATGAAGCTTTCCTCTTTACTTCTCTAACTCTATCACTAAAATGATTTCGTGCCCTCCTCAGACCCCGACTGGGGCAGTCTGAACCTGGGCTCCCTGGTGTGCATCGAGTGCTCGGGGATCCACAGGAACCTGGGCACCCACCTGTCCCGCGTGCGCTCCCTGGACTTGGACGACTGGCCGGTGGAGCTCAGCATGGTGATGACGGCCATCGGGAACGCCATGGCCAACAGCGTGTGGGAGGGGGCTCTGGAGGGCTACAGCAAGCCAGGCAACGACACCACCAGGTGAGCCTTCTTCTACACATACAGGTGCCGCTTAATGAGGCATACGGAGATTATAGTGTGAGAAGGCAGCGCCGTCTTCTCTCCATTACCTGCCGTTTATTAGCCACCCACATTTCAGCTCAGGCAGTTCACGCCACAAAACGCTCCATAAGGAGCACCGGGGGTCCAGAAGTGTCTCTTGAGAGAAAACAGTATTTTATGTTTGAGCATCAGTCCGTCCTGTACACATTGATCACAATGCCTCTGTGTCTTTCTCCAGTTGGTACTTTGTTGCCATCTCTTTCCCGCTGTCTCTTCTTCTTAGGATTTAATATCTATTATTTCCAACAGAGTATCTGGCGTCTCGTTTGTCCGTCTCTCCACTAGCTTGCCTTTTATTGAAGGGAGTGTTGCACTTACCAAATAAATGCCCAAATCCATCAAGTTTGTCGTTTGACAACGTAAGCGCTCATCAGGAAAATATATTTTAATAATAAATACATATGAAACCAGCCCAAGCCGTTTGATGCCTGAAATCAGTGAGAGTATAATGGGTAGGAATGTGTTGTATAAAACTATGCACTATTCTAGGTGCAAGTCGACTATTCAATGATTAGATCAGAGGAGCCTGATTCAAATCACAGTTTAATAGTGTCAGTTTTGGGGAAATGTGGTTATAAAACAAGGAGCATTCTATTCTGGCTATATGGAGGTGCATAAAGTCTAATTTTACTTAAGAATCTCTTCAAATCTGCTCCAGTACTTTAGACAAGGCAGCACCTGCACATGCTCAAACAGAGCAGAGTCAATGAGCCCCAAAAAAAAAAGAGATGCAACTTGACCAATCAGGTATGAAGATTGTTAGCCGGGGACACACGTACAATTTACTTAACCAGTCTTTTTTTTTATTTGACAACCCAACTAGTAGCTTTCCCTCTTTTGAAGGTATCTCTTAAATGATACTTGTCCACCTGCTCCCTACTGTCCTGTTCCAAGTTAACCCCGGACAATAAGCCCCCTCTCCTGAGAGTTCCCAGATCTGTTGGAGGATTGTTTATCTCCCAGTGACAGGTGAGGCCTAGCGTCCCAGTCTGACTAATGACCTGCTATGTGGCTGTGCAGGTAATTAAGCACACCATTACGGCTTAACCCCTCCCCAAGAGCCGGGCCCTCAGGCCCCCGACTGCCATGTCACATATCCATCACACGGGGCCGGGTCATCACTCTGTCTGTCAGGAAGAGACTGTCTGTAGGCTCTCCCTGCCGCCAGTTCACTGCTTTAACATCACAGCTTAGAGAGAAACATATCTGCTTCATTTCTCTACTGATGCTGCTCTTAATGCTGCAGCTGGTATGGATCAGAAATAACAAGAATATAATATCATTTTTATTTTAAAGCTTTATTTAGAACCATTTTGTATTCCCAGCTAGTTAGGGGATATTATTGATAATGCAGACATTAAGGTAATCAACATTCAAGCAGTTTCTATATATTATTTGTATATTATATTTGTATTCCAGCAGACAGACAATAGTACAAGCAGCATTAGCAGCAGCTCTATTTGTGTTGTGTCCTCTTTTGTTTGTTAACTGAAAAAACATGCAACGGTTTGGGCTCTTTAGGTAAGGCCTCCACCACTTACTATATTTATTTATTTGATATAACTTAACAACTTATCTTGAAAAGAAAGCAAACGATTCACATTTAAAGACATGGTTAACTTATTCAATACAGTAATTAAATAGCAGGTTTATATCTCATGTACAGTCAAAAGTCATTAGCTTTCATATCAGCAGTTGACAACTGTTCTGAATTCTTCATTTTAAAACTGAAGCTATTAGTGACAATAATTCCTATCCCGTCATGTGTTTGACTTTTTTCTCACATCACTAAAAACCAGAAACACAAGTGAGGAGTTTTAACCTTTTTCCAAATCTATGACGTCTCTGACTCACTATTTCATGGTTCAGGGTTAAGAAAACAGGCTTTCTAGAAAACATTAGGCTTTTTTACTGTAAAAATAAGTTGTAAAGGAGTACCTTAAAAATCCACTTAGTTCTTGATGTAAATGGAGCAGTCTCAGCCGACACTTTATCAAAGACATTGCTGATCATACACGAATAATAGTTTGTGCACATACTAGGACCTAATAAAGGTTCAGTTTGCTAATGACCAGGGTCTTCTTGTTCGTTATTTGTACCTGCAGTCTCCAACCTTTTCCTCTTGAACCCACGGTGCGCTCTCCAGCCAGTTCAGCACTGAATGATGGCCTACAGTTATTTATTGAATGGTATCTGTGCTAAAGTGCTCCACTGTGGACTTGATGAAAGATTATTGATGTTGATTACTCTCCCTACCACTGTCAGTCCCACGTCGCCTGGAGCAGGAAGCTTCTTCATTGTCTAAAAAAATCCGATCTTATCCTGCAGCAGCATCTCCATTAGTTTTCACTGTCAAACAATAAATCTCATTTGCAGCATAACTAATCTTCAGATAAAACACAGCAGTTGTAAATATCATATATGGCCACTGGTTATCGAGATGCTCATGATTTTGCTGCTGATAGAACAATGTACCCTCGTGGGTGTAACTCTCGTATCAAATTATTTTCTGCTTTATCACCAATGATGAATTATTAGCGACTTAAGGGGATGTACTTTTTCTTATTTCTTTCTTTTAACGCCATCAATCCTGACCTGACTCTGTTTCTGCGTAGGCTCCTCTTAACATATGAGAGGATTTTAATTGTGTCAGATCGGTGACATGTAGCAGCTTTGTGATGGCACACAGGCAGTGTATGGCTCCGAGTCCCACTAAACATTAGTGACACCTAATCTAAACGATTCAGTAACTACCTGAATATCAACTCAGGGTCTGATTGAATGTCTCCTGCAACACTAGTTTTACCCCCTTGCATTTTTGAGATTTAACTTAAAAGCATTCATCCACAGGATTGGTTTAGTTTATGATATTCTGGATCCAGAGAACACAATATATAGATTTGTCGTACGCAGATCCCCACAGCAACATCGGACTGATTACAGGCATCATAATAGGAAACATGGCTATATCCATGTATATGTGCACTTATTTATGTTTGTAGAACATTGTATGCTACCACTCTTTAATAATGCACCCTTCATAAAGATGTAACTAATGGTTTCTTAGAGAAACTATAAGCCATTAATATGAGCACATTTTGGATTTCTAGGTTGTAAAAAGATTGAAAACCTTGGGCCAATGCTAAGTATTTCTATCTTGTCATAATGTAGTTATACATTGCGTTAATCTGAATACATTCTCATGTCTTTCTAATAAGCCTTTTTAAGCTTGTAGTTCGTTAAGTCATCAGTATAATAATAAATAATAACAGTATTAATAATACACTTTATTAAGCACCTTTCATATAAAACAGAACGCCATTAAAACTACACAAAGAAAAATCAAAAGACGAAAAACTGAACTAAACAGCATCATACAAACACATCAAACACAGAGTTAAACAAATAGAAAATAATAATAAAATAATAAACTAAATCAAATCACAGAACAGCAATTCTAAAAAAGTGAGTTTTCAAGAGTGACTTAAAAGAAAAGAAAGACCAATATAGTCTTTTAAATGTATTATTTTTATTTTTATAGTAAGGAGCTGATCTTTTAAAAAACTAAATAGATATTTGACAAGCTGACACCCAAAAGTTGTTGTCAAACAACTTATCTGTTACAAATGAATGACGTTAATAAAGCCATTGACAACAATAACTAACTCATTTACTGTATAAAGGATGCCTAATTTAAAAAGCTATGCTACAGTTAAATCTGTGATAACACATTTCCCTGCAGTCAGCATATTGGAAGGTAGTTGTTCTTTTAATTAGCGCCTGGGAGTGGTCTTGTTTTGCACGTCACCTCTAATTGCTTGGCATGTTTGTGATAGAAAACACCACAGACTATTTTGACGGGGAAGCTCCAACAGCTAACTTTAACCTTATCGTCTACTGGCACTCACACTCACAGTTATACACACACACACACACACACACACACACACACACACACACACACACACACACACACACACACACACACACACACACACACACACACACACACACACACACACACACACACACACACACACACACACCAGTTCTCATTTGGGGGAGATGTCCTGGAGCGTGGACGGATGTGGACGGCTATCCCTCACTGGCCGGGCCTCTCACTGTCACCCTCTGTAGCTCCGCGCCGCCCCCGGCAACAGGCAGGTAATAGCTCTGATGAGAGCCCTCCACTTTGTTTCAGAAATAATTTGCCACTCCTGCCGCCTGCAGGGTCTGCGTGGTAATAAAAATGAATCACACCGCTAACCTCTCCAAACCTGGCCCCCGCTGCCTCTTTTAACCCCTTCTGCTCTGGCACCTTTTTTTGCTCGATTACAACATCAGTGCTGTGTCCATTACAGTCCTGCTGTATGATTTGTCCCCATGGCCCCTATCCTCCAAGTTATTCCCCCAAACACAGAGCCAGGCTTGGGGGCTGCTCACAGGTTAGGAGTGCTGGAACCCTCCAAAGAGCTTTTAGAATAGCCGGCCTTGCCAGGAGCCCCGGTGGAGGAAGAGTAATTAATTAAGACAAATGAATGACTGGGTCTTCCCATGTCCTTCCTCTCTAAACGAAACCCACAGGTCAGTAATTAGCCCTGTGTGGGAGAAGTCACTAATTGCCCACATGCCACCGGGTTCCTCAGCCAGGTAGACATATAGAGATAATCATTTTGGCCAAATCTACTTAACCCTTTTAATTTAGTTAGCAGTATGAAATCATAACAAAAAAGTTCCTGTCTGTGAAAGAGGCAGTCCCTTTATGTGACCGGGAATTTTAAATGTGTACGTACGTGCAGCAGCCTGCATACATAAGCAGGGCATGTGTTATCGTCCCCTCTGCTTTGTCTGTGAGGCGAGGGTTCAGCAGGGGTTAACAGCATGAGCATTTAAGGGTGTTAGTCTTGCTGGCACAAAAACACAGCCACTCCATCATGAGGAGTCTGACAACCTCATTAATGTCACAATATATTCAACTCATCCCTCTGCCTGCCTACGGCACCCAGATGCTCTCCTGTTGGCCCCTTTATAGAGCCCAACACAACAACCTTTTGAATTCTGGTCATCTGTTCACGCCGCACTCTGGAAAAGTGGCGACTAGTCCACTAGTGAAAATATTTGTCCTGGTTATATGCAGCTGTAGCATGTGTGCACTGTACCGGCTGGACCATAGGGGGCCTTATTTATCACTTTTTTTGCTGCGGCGTTTACTGTGTTGCTCCTTCATTTCTGGCCCTTAGCAACCTTTGATGCTTTGGGGCCCAGCTTTCTGTCCCTGTTGTGTGCGCTATTTTTTTTCTTCTTCATCTCTGTCGTTTCCCCTCCGAGCCCCCGCTCTGTCTTTCTGCTGCTGTCCCTCTTCCTCACTCTCTGTCTCTTCCCTCCCCTCGGTTTGTGGAAGTGAAGCCGCTGTCTGCATGGGAATCGGTCCCATACAAGTTGCCTACCCCCACTGTGAAGTCTGTTCATGCTGGTCGAATCCCCCCCCCCCCTCTATTCCCCTCCCAACAGCACCACCATTTCTCCCCTTCACTGCGTCTATTTGATGTGTCCGCAGTGGATTTGGATCCTCGGGGAACAGTAGGAGGAGCTCTGGAAAAGCTTTGATTGTTTAGGAGGACCCAGGGTGTGTTTGAAAGATGTGCGAGTGGTGGGACGGACATCCTTCTCTTCCTATGGACCAATGCACCTTTATTGCAGGCCGTCAGATTGGTCATTCTGTAGGCTGCTCCACCGCTGGCTCCACCCCCGCCGTCTCAGTTTCCCGTCCCTTCTTATAAATTCCCGTTCGCCTTTGTCTTTCAGGCTTGACTAATTATCCTTGTTTGTCCCTCTTTATTTGAATTCAGTCATGTGTTCTTGACTCCGTGGGCTGGGTTTAGGAGAATCATTCCGCCATTTGCCACTTAATTAAGTCAGGGTCAGGATCCATTGCTCAACGGAGAGCTGAAAGGACAGAGCTCTAATAGAATTATAAAAAGAGGCCTTTTCTCTACTGTTAGGGCTGCCTTTATCTAGGTGGGCTCTGCGTGGTCAAATGAAAGGAAACACCAGCTCTGGACAGGAGCCCATTTCCACTTTAGACTCATTTTGATGTTTGCCCAGGATTTCTTTCACGTTAAATCCAATGATTGAAAGTGAAACAATGATCATCAGCTTTGAGATACCTCTGAATGATGGAGGAAGTTTAGGGGGCGACGCAAACACCGCTTGTTTTTAGTTACAAGAGACACACAGGCATTTTTATTGGGAACTTTAAGCTCCCCTCTGTCCCCGGAGCAACAGAGAAATTTAGAACAAGTATGTGCTCAAAGAAGGGTGGGGAAATCGGTGTGTGTGTGTGTGTGTAAGAGTTACCATCAGTTCAATTTCCTAAATATCCCCCTATGCTGTGAAAATTCACTCTCCTTTCCCTCCCCTCCTCCTCTGTCCTGGCGCTTTGACATGCTAAATCTGCTGATTTTATTTTTCTTCCTCCTGTGGTGAGGAAGTGTCCTTTTCAAGGGTCTCAATTTTCCCCCTGACTGTCTAAACCCTACCTCTGTTTGGATTGTTTTTCTATTTCAAACAAAAGACAGAGGCAGGATTACCATTTCACTTCCTTTCAAGTGGCAGCAGTTTAGGTTTTATTTTAAAAAACCACTGCCCGGCTGCTTTTTGTTATTGTTTTATTGTAGAAGTGTATAAAGAGCTGTGGTTGAATGTAGATCCCGGCATAAGCAGTGAGTGAGGCTTTTTTTCCCCCTGCAGGCCTCCGGGGCTGATTTGGTAGCGGGGGCTAACAAAGTGTCCTCAGGGCTCCTTTCTGAGATGTTGACGTCTTCTTAATGGCTCTCCTCAGCCTTTTTGTTTCACATCTTGGTGCTAACTTTCTGCCTCATTTAGCTCATATCAATTCACTGGGCTCTACAGATTCAGCATCTCATTCATGGTCTAGCTCTTTGAAGCAAACTTTGGACAACAGCTCTAAGTGATAGTTTTCAGCTTAGATTTTTTGGTATATGTTAAACATTTTGCCTTGAGGATTTCAACAAGTTTTTTATAAATACTTTATCCTGTTTGGCAGTTAAAAAACAAAACACTTTTTTTTCAAAGAGTCCACCGGAAATAAGAGGTTAGGGCAGGACGGCCCCTTCCTGTTCTGAGCAGTCCGCTGGTTTAAGGCCAATTGATTTGCTAACAGGCTTGTCCACACATAATGACTGAGTGGGGATTGATGGAGGTCTTACACCATAAAACTCTGAGTCGCTGCAATTGCCTGCCATTAGAGCTGTATTGTTGTTCACATAATACCCTCACCCTTAAGAAAAGATTGTCCTATGGTGCCGCGGCGTAAAGGACTTTCTCCTCCACATTTTCCTTGAGGTCATAACAGAAAATGCACCCATATGCTTATAAATGCTTTAAGGGTATTTTAAGATGTGGGGTTAAGTTGCTTTATGAGCTTCCGGTGGCGTTGTGCAGTTAATCAATGTGCGCCGGGGTGCTGATAAAGACCCTGGCTCCTCCATCACATCTTAACTCCTGCAGTTAGGGCCGGTGCCAGCCTGCTCGGTGAGAGACAGACTGCGCTGCGGAGTGAGCCTGGCAGCTGACATATGACTCTGGAAACGCTCTCTGTCTGTGCTAAGTTGGCAGCTCTGACACATAGCTGCTACGGTCGTAATAAAAGGGAGAGTGACTAATGTTGAACTGGATACTATTGTTAAATCTGCTGCTGTAATTAAACATGAGCTATATTGGGATATACTCGGGGTCAGGTCACACAAATGTCAGGACAACTTATTTGCCCTTTTACCTCTGGTGGTTATCTTTTTCCACTTTCAAAAGGGATGAATCTTCATTAGAAAGAACATCATGCAACGTCTGTGGGTTACTTTATTGATGAATTTTCACATTTTGAACATACAGCACACGTTAATCAACCTTTCTTAGGTGTACCAGTGTTAACCAGCTGGCACATTTTCAACCACAGTCCCTTGTCGAGGTGTTTTTAGTTATTTAGTTATCTAGAGTAACACCATCCTGCTGCTGTACATTTACTAGACCACCAAATATATAAATATAAATAGTCACTTACAAATGCTCTATATACTGGTGTTTGGGTAATATTTCCTAAAAACTACAGGACCCAGCAATTTGAGATAATTAAATACAATAAAATATACAATATACAAAAATATTTGTACACTAGTTTGTAAATGTTTATGTAATCAGTCAATTGATTGACTGATTAAAAAAAAGAGCTGCAGACCGGGGGTAGAGGGAACAGAAAATGTAAAAAAAAACTACTAAAATGTTGTTAATTTAACATAAATAATTGAACAAAAAGAGTATAAAATGGCATCAGCTTTATCCTTTAAATATATATTTTTCTGACAAAATGCATAAGAGTATCCATTGCATCAAGGTAGAGACCGAAATCTGAAGGAAGGAGTGCTTAAAAAAATAAGATAAATATATATTTTTTATTGTGTGGATCTGATGTTGTTTTGGTTAGCTTGATTTCGGTAATTAAGTTGTTCTGCTGCTCTTGTTGTCACTGTGATTATGATGAAATGGTATGGAAGTGAATGAGAGTGTCAGTTTGTACTTGCTGCGAGGCCTCGGCCGCTGATAGGGAGTCCCACGAGGGTCTTGTCACTCCAGCCGGCGTTGGCGCTTAACTTATCCGTCCAAACCCTCTCCTCTCTGTCACTCACCCTCACTCCCAGACAACAGCCTCTTTCTGCTCCTCTTATCACTCCGCCTGACGGGGTCACCGGGTTACTGCCACACTGGGCATGCTCACTCATTCACATATTGATATTGATTTTTTTCTTTCTTATTTGGACAGTTTGTATGTGGGCAGAGAATGAAACGGAGGGGGGTTCAAGATGGAGAGCAATAGATATAACTCGGCCTGGCGATAGAGGACGGAGCCTTCCCTTTTAGCCTCTATTCTCCGCCGCAGAGTGAAGGAGCCCACCGGCCCTCTCTGGCTGCCATTCAGCCCCATCGATCTGACTCTGGGCCCGGCCCCCCCGAGGGAGACCGGGGCCCGGAGACACACTGCCTCTTTTGTGGAGGGGATCCACCAGTTCAGACTGACAGCCGACAGCGCTGATAAAAAAAAGACGTCCCCCTCCTTCCTGTATTGTCAGCCGCAGACTTGCTGTTGGAGATGTGTAACCTTTAGAAAGCTGGCCAGACTCTCACCGCCTTGCTGTCCACCCTAATCACTAGGAAGTGGAGTATTGCCCAAAGCCTCACAGCCTTTGGCATTCTCTCATCTCCGCCGACAATCTCAATGGTTTATTTCCCACTGTGATAGGGGAGGCTGGTGGGGTCCTGTGCTCTAATAATTTAGGAGCTTCTCTTTAGTGAGGATCTAAGGCCAATTGCCGTGACACTTCCCTTGTGTCTACATTTCTCACTGTATCTGAATTATAACCATTCTGGTTTAACCCAGTGTATATCTGCTCTTGAACAGAAATCTGATTATCATCATATTATCATCTGAGATCACAAGATATGGTCTTATTGTCTGTTCTCGGTGTATGGATCTAGGGAAAAAGGCTTTTATTTTCTTGGCTCCGTTTAACTTTCAAAGAGACTTGAAACTCACATAATTGGTCTCTGCCTGATTTATAAAGCTCTTATAAGTACAAAGTTGAAATCCGTTGCTACTGTGTGTGCGTGCAATTTGAAACATTATTATTTTTCCTTCAATGTTATCTTGTGGTTGTTGTTGTCTGTCATTTCTTATGCTGATATGATTATTGATCCCAACAAGTCTTACGTGGTTAAATATGGGTCAAAATGACACGTGTTGAACGTTTTTTTGTAACTTAAGTCCTAATTGCTCATAGTGTTCCCCCCCCGTCTGACCTGTTGTTTCCTTTCTCTCCAGGGAGGAGAAGGAGTGCTGGATTCGAGCCAAGTACGAGCAGAAGCTGTTCCTGGTGGGCTTGCCGCAGTCCGACGTGCCCCTGGGCCAGCAGCTGCTGCGGGCCGTGGTGGAGGACGACCTGCGGCTGGTGGTGCTGCTGCTGGCCCACGGCACCAAGGAGGAGGTCAACGAGACGTACGGGGACGGGGACGGACGCACCGCGCTGCACCTCTCCTGCGCCATGGCCAACGTGGTCATCACGCAGCTGCTCATCTGGGTGAGTCCTCGGATTAGAGGGGGGGGGGGAACTCTGTTATTGTAGGGATTGAGTTCGAGGCAAGTGATTTAGGAGTTAAAGTGTGAAGAGAAGAACTTCCTCCAGATGTTTCTTATTTCAAGTCCCTCTCCTAAACACCAAGTGAATATTAGTTTTCATAGTTAGCTGTTCAATTATAATGTTGGCTAGTTAAATGTAGCCCCTTGAAGAGAGTTCCCCTGAAACAAAGCAATAACACAAATAACTAAACTCTTTTACTAAAGTATTGTTAGAAACCGCAAAAGGTTTTTGTAAATGTGTGTGATATGGACAAGATATCTCAAATGTTTCCATATCATCTTGAGGAATAGACATACAACTTTTACAGCTACAGCTTTAGTGTGTTAACTTTTGGGTTGAGCAGATATAGAATATATTGTATATCAGATATTGTCATACAATATTTAACAACTTCAATGCTCCTGCAAGGATCAAGGGTTCAAGGAGTTTAGTGTGCAACATGCTTATTGCTAAAGGTTTCAGGTTTAACAGATATTTCAGTGTTTTGGAAGGAGATCAGTCATGGTGCCTGTTTGAATATGGTAGAATCATAGATTATTATAAACAAAACAGCTCTTAAAATTACTGCTAGTTGTAGAAAGTGACGAGAAACATGGAGGAACAAATCAGGAAACTCAAATGATCTGGAAATCCCTTGGAACATCCCTAAAATATGTAAAATCTTATATCTGACTTTTCTATGTAATTCTCTCCGGCAGTACGGAGTGGACGTGTCGAGTCGGGAGGCTCGGGGTCAGACCCCTCTGTCCTACGCGCGGCGGGCCGGCAGCCAGGAGTGCGCCGACATCCTGCTCCAGCACGGCTGCCCCAACGACACCAGCAGCCTGTCGTCCGTGGCAACGCCCAACATGAGCCGCCGCAACCCCAACCCCAACATCAACAACAACAACGCCCAGTGCGAGCTCAACCGTAGCATCAGCATCATGTAGAGACGAGACGCAGATAGACCCCAGCGCCCACCCCCCCCCCCCCTCTGCTTCACACTGTGTAACCCAGAATCCTTACCAACGCAGAGAGAGTGATGGACTCATTGTTAATATTCCACTATGCTCAAAGAAGTGGTAGTTCGGGGGTCGGACATTGTACATTGTTTGTTTTATATAATTGTTTTTTTATTTGTTGAATTTGTTCTATCTTGGTCTGAAACAATCACGATCAGCTTTAAGCTTTGTGTTTTTTAAGCGCCAACCAAACAAATGACTTACTTTGGCATTCATACCTACCCTACGAAAAGCATTTCCTTAATGCTTGAACATTTCCTTTTTATGTCTTCCCCTTCTGCGACGTGAACTGATTTCATAATGAGCTTGAAATGAGAGAAACTTCCTTCACATTTCCAAGCCTGAGCATTATAACATAAATCTGTGAGTAATAGTTTAACAAGTGACAAAAACACTAAGGGAAACTAAATCTTCCATGATCCCAGTGGCTGTTACAGCTTTAGTAATGATGCATGTCTTTAACACAGCTATCAAACTCTTGACATACTATTCATATACAAAGGCAAAGCAATTATAGATGAAGAGTCCAAATGATTTAGATACTTAATTCACAGGAAAATGGGTTCGGATCATCATAAAGGAGTTGATTGCAGAATTCCTGTCGGGGTGAAAGTAAGTCATTTCCTTCGCCACCCTTATCGTGATCCTCCAGTAAAAGTGTCCGTGACTACAAAGGAATTAAGGGGCATCGTGTTTTATGACCATCGAGCCACACGGCTTTGTAAGCGTGCCTCTTCAATCAGAATTCATTCAAATTCAAAGGTTTGATTGAAACAGTGAGATCACACTGATAATGATGTCTTTGTTGGAGTAATTCTCCGATTGACTCGATTGTGTTGGTAATTATTTGACATAGATAGATACTGGAATATCCTTCCACCTCCCCGCGGCCACAGCCTGTAGAAGCGGTACTCACGAGATGATTTCCTCTTTTGTTGCTGTGAAATACATATATGATACTGTGTGTGTGCGTCCGTGCATAACTGTACAACACGTGTGTGTGTGTGTGTGTGTGCTTACGTCTTTCATCTGTGATAGCAGAGAGCCACCGGGCATTTCTGTTCATAAAACATTTACACCAGAGAGAAGACACCCGCAGTGAAGATTTTGGAACATAACTGTGTTTGAATGTACAGACGTCTGTAAAAAGTAGTTCTTGTTCCTTCACCTTATTCCTTATAAGAACATACTTAGACTTTTAGAGTCCAGAAAACAACCTCTTTCCTTTCCCTTCAAACTGTGTCGGCTTAAACGCAGAGAGTTAACAAAAAGCATTCAAACGACATTTAGGATTAAAGTGAGCTGGGGGTTAAAGTAGCTTGACTCTCTTTGCATTAAGTAATACAAATGTACAGTATTCCACTGACATAAGCTGATTAATTTATAGGTAAGAAATTAATTCAGGTGGAGTTGGCACAATGTGTATTTACCCTTTGATTCAACTGCCAATTTTAAGGTTTTTAAACCGTCTTGATTTTATGAGTTTACAAGAGCAGGATATATGTTTACAGAGGCAGTTATTAACTTTGTGTACCTTTTTGTTCAGGTTTCTGTTGTTGCTTTACAATATTTCTGTTCTAAGAGCCCACAGGGACTGAATTATGTGGTCAAACGAGGGTGTTTGTAAATCGATGAAATGGCGATATTGTAAAGAAAACTGTGATATTTTTGGGACAGCTTATTTGCTTTCTTGATCAGAACATCCATTACACTCGTGTGTGTGTGCATTTAGTACAGACCTGGAGTCTGGAGGGGATTAGCATGGCCTAGCTAACAGTTAGCCTGGTTTAGCATAAAGTTACACCATGTGGCGACGTCTTAAAAAACACATTTTAAAATTGTACTTTCTTTTTTTTTGTTCTAATTAAATACAGAAGACACCAGACTTTAGTGCAAGACACTGGTGTAAGTAAAGACTTTGAACCTACTTCCGTAACATGCATACTTTTTTAAAAACATGATAGTTTTGATGCGTTTTTATTTAGTTTTGTTTCATTTTACAATGTTACCCAGTGTTTAAAACAGCCTGCTGGCTTCACCTCTGTACTTAACGCACAGGAATGAGAGTAATATCGATCTTTTCATCAAGAAAGCGAATAAGAACTTTTCCCAACATCCTTAAAATGACCACAAATTCAACTAAAACCTTCAAATGTACTTGTACTGAACAGTGGTACTTGCCTTATTTCTGATTTACTTGACCGACTGATTTCAAAAAGTACATTTCAGTGTCCAAGGGGATTATGAGAGGAGTTTATTGTGTAAAGATGACCTGAACCCTTATTGACATACTGTAGAGGAGATGATGAAAAGACACTAGAAGAAACCTGCCTGTTTTCCCTTAAACATCAATTGGAAGTGTAAATATTAGCTAAAGCTTTTATCTGAAGACGAGCTCCTCCTAGAGAAACAAACTAAACTGGTTTTAGGTCTCCTTTGAACCATTTTTTGATACGTTGGTTTTTTTTTGTTTCTCTTTAGACATATTTTTAAGGTACTTCTGTTTGGTTTCATTAACCGACCATCTTTGGTACTTGTGTATAATGATGTACATTTGACATATTTATAATGCAGTTTGTAAATATCTTTTTTTTGTTTTGTTTTGTTCAAGTTATTTTCCTATTGTAATTCCTTTTACGTTCAGAACGTGGAACAAAGCTAAAGAGTAACTTGGTGTATGCTTGGATGCTCGGCTGACTGTTGACCTATAAATAAACACTCAAATAAAACGATGTAGCCTTCCCTGCATTTGGGGAAATCGACACATTTGTCTGGTGTGTGTGTGTTCATCCGTCATCCATCACTCCTGTGCATGACCTGCTGATGAGGTGAGACCCTCTCTCAAATTAAAAGTCTCATCATCACCTCAACAAGTACTGCCATTTCATCTTCTTCCCTTTTGCATGTTCCTTCATCAAACTTCCTGGAGAAACTTCCTGTCAAAGTGTCCGAGACAACTCATCCGAGCCCGTCTTTAAGGTAAGGAAAGCAACCTCTCTCCCTCCACTTCCTGCTCGTGGGACCCCCAGCAGTTTGCTGAAAGAGGATTAAGATAAAGAGCCGAGCTTAGTGTCAGGCAGCACGACACCGTGGGGAAAAGTGAAAGGTCTCAGTGTTCAGAGGAGTCAAGCCCTCACTAATCCACTTCTTATTTCCTGCTAATCTTGTCTCAGCATATCTTCATCCCCTTCCTCTCTCTGTTGGCTGGCTTTGTTTGAGCTTCATCACCTGGTTTCCCTTTAGGGTTTCCTCTTCCTTCCTCTGCGCTGGATTGACATGGAGCCACAATGCTCTGCGTCACGCTTAAAGACCCCCAAAACTTGTGTTATCAATCTGCTTCCTTGATAGAGATAATGGGGTCCTCTTACAGTTAGTTTTTCTTAATTTTGTATCGTCTTCCTACTGGTTGAAGTGGATGTGGCTAGTTTAGATACAACTATGCATATTCCTTCAACAATTTGGATTTTGCTGTATTTAATTTAAGATCTGATTTCAACAGACTTATTGCAGCAGATTAACTGAGTTTTTTTACTTCAACAACAAAGATATTAGTTGCAAATCTTTCAATTTCAACATAAAGAAGACATGGTTTTACCCAACCCCGTGATTCAAATCTCTTCCAAACAATAATATATGTGTTGCTTTGGCCCATACTACATCCTTCCACCAAGTTTCATGAAAAATCTGGCAAGTACAGAAGTTTTTGTGTTACATATTGTTGACAAAAATAAACTAGAAACATAACCCCCCTGGCAGATGTAATAGTACATTTATAAACTATAAAAAAAATCTTATTTAATTTTGATAGTTGCTTATTTGTTCATGAACTTTCCAACTTAAACCTCAATTGTTTGTTTTTTTGGACCATTTTGGAAAGAAGAAAGACATTGATGCATCCCAACCTTTTTAAATTGATAACACACATCCAGCAGATACAGAGCAACATTAGAGTTGTGTTTTTGTCCCACAGACAAAAGTAGGTCAAATATTCTCTCTCGCTTAGCCTATTGTTGGTCTCCACCAGCGCTGTAGCTGTTTAATGCTCAACTACCTTTACCAGCTAGTTGCTAGTTTGCTGTGTTTTCTGTTATTCGGTGCTTGCAGGTAGCAGACAGTTTTTGGGGCTTTCTTTTATGCTTGAAACAACAGAGAAGAACACAGAGTGAACCACAAAGTAATGTGCGGCAGGTCAAACTAAAACAATTCAGTGACACGACACATGATGAGCGACACGAAAACCGTGTGAGGGGAACTGTGAGTTTTTCACTACAATCAGTCCCTCTCACATACTGTAAACGATTTAATGTGATCAATTGTTAAAAATATGGATTATAACAGCTTTGAAGTATTCAGGGGCTTTAAATGTTCAACATCGTAAGGCCCTAAATGAACCTAAAATGAATCATGCTTTGTCCACTTCTCTTCAGAAACATCATGTGTCCTGTAATTTATTACGGAGCCTCACGCCTTCACAGACCCCGGCCACTTGTGTTTGTTGTTGTGAGGCTGGAGCGCTCGCTTGCACCGCTGTGTGTTTTGATATTTCATCAGGGCCTGCTAAACAGTGAGGAGGGCTCTCTGCCGCCCACCTCTCCTCAGACAAATTGCCTCCAAGATTGCAGAGGTGGGTCTGAGGCTGATGGATGGGTACACAAAGACCTGACGAGACCATATTTGCAAACATTAAATCCATATTTCCATAACATGTAGAGGCTGCTTGGCCACGGGCCACTTTAACAGCCTGTTTAGCAAGCAGTCGTAACATAAATGTTGCTTTAAGGTGGCGTTTCTGTCCGCCTGTCTTCATATGGACACCATACTCCCTGTTTTCTGCTCCACCCTTCTCGCTTTTAACCTCTTTAACCAATAATTATATCCACTCTGACTATCTCTCCTCTCCTGTGCCCCCCCCCCCCAGACCTGAATATCATTTATCAATTTCAGCTCCATCATGTCTGACCAGTGCCTACATGCTGCACCCTGCCCTGATCTCATGTCCTCATTTCCATATCCTTGAATCGCTCTCTAATCAGTGTCTTTTTTCCCTTCTCCGTGTGTTTCATCCCCACCATCTTCCTCTTCATCCTTTGTCTTACATAAACGCTCTGTTCCCATCACTCTCTCCTCTCCTCTTTCTCTCCCCTTCCCCGTTGGCTTTTGCCTGCATTTCTCTGTTAATTTGCCTGAGAATGCATTAGCTGTAATGAAGGCTGAGGGCCGAGGGAATCCTCCAGGGTTCCATTAATCATCCCCCCTCAGACAGGCAACCTTGATTACAAGTGGCAAGAAATTCATTAGAGCCGGGCCTCTGACAACTCTTATCTCCGCCACTAGATCTGACTCATTAGGCAGCCAAATTAAAGCTATGATGGCCCTGATGAAACTCATCGCTTGTTTATCTTGTGCGATTTGATGCATCTGCCCATACATCACTGTAGCCACGACCGCCCGGACCCTCCCATGAAGTCAGGCCTGCAGTCGGCGCAGAGAAGGCTGCACTCACACAAGCAGCAGGTAATGAGCTTACCTCCATTTCCTCACTCTCTGCCTCTCTTTCTTCCGCTCCAGGTGGGAATTTGTTAATGGTTTAATGTCTTAGCTGTGAGAAGGGAACTTCTGATATTTCAATTTGGGATTCAAGTAGACACAGACCCTGTCTTGACACTGAGGTGTTCACTTAAACCGTAGATAAAATGGATGAAAGATCAATGTGTGGGTGTAAACTACTAAACATAGGGTTACCTATTCATTTCTTTATGCGGTCAATTTTGAACGGGAACACCATACTGTAGGTGTAACAAAGTTGATTAAACCACTCAAAATGCAATGAAAGTGGTGATGAGCAGGTTTATATGTTCAAATACCTACTGTGGAGGCCTTGAGACAATCAAATGAAAAACACAATGATTGAAGAAAGTAGTAAATCAGTCAGGTTTGACCCGAACACAACAGGAAGGTTAAAATATATAAAGGATTAACAAATTCACAAGTACACAAACCCTGTTTTATCTTATTTGTTTAACGTTTTGAATAAGAAACTCCTATAAAATGTCACCTTTTTAATATGTTTTCTAACTGTGGATTGGGATGAAATAGTCCCCCTCAGTATTCCTTGATAATAAACACCAGCATGAACTTAGCCTCTGCAGTGTCACGGCTCGTCGTCGTCACCTCCACTGGACTGAAATAGCCGCTGCACTCTGGCACAATGTCGTTGAATGGACCGTCTATTAGTCAGCTGTTGGACCATAATAAAACTTCCACCGCTCCTTCACACAGCCATCACTCCTTGAATCCCCATCCAAGTGTCACAGTCTTGATGTATGAGGTGGACGGTGGAATAAACTCTACTACTCATGGGTGTCCAGGTCATGAAAAGTCTGTGTATGCACTGAGGTCAAACTGAAATAAAAATCATGTGTTCATCCTTGAGATGCTTGAGGGAAAGGAAGCTGTATCCTAGAAGATTCCTATCAGATTGTTTCACCAAAACCCTCCATATAATATGTGAAAGCTGAGGAGATGGCTGGTTATTTTAATCAAATATTAATACTAATAAAATATTTAAAGAATCTCACCCTATCATCATATTCAACAGGTGCTGCTGCAGAAGTTAAACATGGCTTGAGGCCTGAGTCTATTTTAGAAACAGGAAAACAAATCACTCTCTCTCATCTGAGTTCAAGTGAAAATATTCCAACATGAGACCTTTCTGGAAACAGTTCAGAGAAACCGTGTCAACCCCCAGAAACATGCATATGAAAGATTGCATAAAACATCAAGCTCTGTTTCCTCTTTCCTGTAATTGGATAGCCGTGTGGCCGGACATTAGTTTAGTTACAGATTATTTTAATATAGCTGATCTTTGAATTTACACTGCCATGTAAGTTTCCATGCAGCTATGACCTCTAGCCATCATGGCAGTTGAGGTCTATTAAGAGTCAACAGTACAGCCATGACTATTTATTTATTTATGATTATTTAATTAAAGGCTTTTATATTGTTATCAGAGTATAAGTATTTTACAAGTCACATGTTGTAATTTCTGTTATTTAGAAAACGTTTTTATTTTAAATCAAATTTCATGAAATATTGTCCATTCAACCAACATCTTTATATTTATAAGAATTATTTGCAGGTGTTAGTGTTGAAAATTATATAGAAAATGACACATTAAAAAAAACACACATTGTGTCCATTATGTGATACATGCCAGAAAACATCAACTATAGCCTTAATGCGTTTTTAAATGTGTATTGTAAACCTCCTATGCGTTTTATCATTGCTATGATTTATATTTTTAGTCCATATTTAATTATTTTACCAAAAATAAAATGTTTAGTATCAGATTAGTAATTGCTGCTGGTGTTCTCTCTCCACAGACTGATATAAGTTCATTACAGTGTTGGTGGATGTTTCAGTCTAATGAGGATCCATCAGTCAGACAACATGGCCTCCTGAAGAGGAATCCATCACTACCGCTGTTTAAAAGAAAATACACATCTACATTTGAAGTCCTGATGTTTCTGAGAAAAAATGAAACGTTAAGAGACGTTAAAACGAACACGTGTGTAAATGAAACTGCGATGCTGAAAACGTTAAAATGTTGGCAATACAATGTGAATAATTAACTTACAACGCTGAAGCTCTTCAAAGATAAACAGTTTTTCAGTAAAAGCCTCCATAAATTAGAAACTATATTGAAATACTGTTAGTATAATATTTAAAACACAGTATTAGGCATTATATTTTATGTAAACTG